TTTCATTCTGTTGGAGATTTCCTTTGACTTATAAAAACTTTTAATAAGATGAGATCCGAGTTGTTGGTTCTTTGAAGTGTTTCCCATGCAGTTTGACTTTTGTTTATGAACTCTCTGCCTACTCCTATGTCGTCAAGATTTCTACCTATTTTTTCTTCCAGCAGATTTAGTGTTTCTGTTTTAATATTTAGATCTTTGATCCACTGTGACTGTAGTTTAGTGCATGGTGATAGACACGGATCTAGTTTTAGTATTTTACATGTAGAGAGCCAGTTTTTTCCAGCACCAGTTACTGAAGAGGTATCTTCCAGTGTACATGTTTGGCCCCTTTGTCAAAGATAAGGTGGTTGAGTGTGTTTGCACTTGTGTCTGTATCTTCTAATCTACTCTTTAATCTTTAGGTCTGTTTTTATTCCATACTATGATGATTTTATCACAATAGCTTTGTAGTATAACTTCAAGTCAGGGATTGTGATGCCACCTGCCTTAGCTTTGTTGCCCAGAATTGCCTTTGCTATTCTAAGTCTCTTCTGATTCCAGATGAATTTTACAGATGATTTCTCTAGATTTGTGAGGTATGAAAATGGTATTTTGATTGGGATTGCATTAAATCTGTATAACAAATTTGGGAGAATGGCAATTTTCACAATAGTTTGTTCTTCCTATCTGCACTGAATATCTTTCCATTTTTTGAAATCCTCTTTGATTTCCTTTTTCAGAGTATTTTAGTTTTCACAGAATAGATACTTTACTTCCTTTGTTAGATTGATTCCTAAGTATTTCATTTTTTTGGATGTTATTCTGAAGGGTGTGGCTTCACTTATTTCTCTTCCATGAGTTTGTTATCACAGGACTGCTATTGATTTCTGAGTGTTGACCTTGTATCCAACTACATTACTCAATTTGGTTATTATGTCTAGGAGACTTCCAGTGGAGTTTTTGATGTCTTCTGTGTAGAGTATCATATCATCTGAAAATAATGATGATTTAACTTCTTCCTTTCCTATTCTTATTCCTTTTATTATTCCTTTTATTTCTCTTTCTTGTCTAATTGTTCTGGCTAATGTTTCCAGGACTATATTGAATAGGTGTGATGATAATGGACATCCTTGTCTTGTTCCTGATTTTAGATTGCATTTAGTAAGATTTTGGCTGCTTATTTGTTATAGATGGATTTTATCAGATGGATGTAGATACCATCTATTCTAATTTTCTGTAAGGTTTTTATCATGAATGAGTGTTGGATTTTATTGCAAGCTTTTTCTATTGAGATAATCATATGGTTCTTGTCCTTAGCTCTGTTGATATTGTGTATTACTTTATTGCTTTGCATATGTTGAGCCATCCCCATATTCCTGGGATGAATCCCACTTGATCATGGTGCATAATCTTCTTAATGACTTGTTGCATTCTACTTGCCAATATTTTATTGAGTATTTTTGCATTTTTGTTCATAATTATCTTTTTCTTTGGATCTTTCTCTGGTTTTGGTATTAGAGTAATACTTGCTTCCAGGAACAAGTTAGGGAGAATTGCTTCCCTTTCTATTTCATTGAAGAGTTTGAGAAATGTTGGCATTAAGTTTTCCCTAAATTTCTTATAGAATGGAGGAGTGAATTAATGAGCACCTGGGCTTTCTTTGTTGGTAGGGTTTTAATTATATTTTCAATTTCATTAACTGAAATTGGGTTATTCAGCTGTTTCACATCTTCTTGATTCAACTTTGATAATTCCTGTGTTTCTACAAATCTGTCCATTTCTTCCATGTTATTGAACCTATGAGAGTAAAGGTTTTAGATGTAGGTATTGATGATCTTATGTATTTGCACCAGGATCTGTAATGATTTCACCCTTTTCATTTCTTAGTACTGTTCTTTTTTGTTTTTGTTTTTTTGATGGTACTAGGGATCAAACTCGTGACCTCACACTTGCCAGGCAGGCACTTAGGCCACTGAGCTAAATTCCCAGCCCTACCATTTTCACTTTTTATTGCATGGATTTGAGCTTTTAATTCTTTTTTTTATAAGGTTGGCTAGGGATTTATCAATTTTATTTATTGTTTCAAAGAACCAACTCTTCAATTCATTAATTCTTTGTACTGTTTTCTTAGTTTCAATTGCATTAATTTCTGCTGTGATCTTTATAATTTCTTGCCATTTTGGGCTCTGGGCTTGACATGCTCTTTTTTTTTTTTAGAAGTTTGAGGTGCAGCATTAAGGTGTTTATTATGTTCGTTTAATTTTCCTAATGTGGGAGTTTAGTGCTATAAATTTCTCTCTGAGGACTGCTTTCATTGTGTCCTATACATTCCAGTTATTTGTATTTGCATTTTCATTCCATTGTAAATATTGTTTAATTTATTCTGTGATCCACTGGCTGTTTAGGAGAGTGTTATTTAGTTTCCATGTGTTTATGGGGTTTGTGGGTTTTTTTGTTGTTGATTTCCAATTATATTGCACTATAGTCAGATAATATGCATGGAATTAGTTCAGTTCTTTTGCATTTACTTAAGCATGTTCTGTGAGTTAGTACATGGTCTATTTTAGAGAATGACCTGTGTGCAGCTGAGAAGAATATGTATCCTGATGTTGTTGGGTAGAATACTGTGTACACATTTACTAGGTCCATTTTTTTATAAATTTGATTTAGTTCTGTTATTTCTTTGCTGATTTTTTGTTTGGTTGATCTTTCTTTGTGACAGTGGTTGATCTGTCTCTTTGTGACAATGGGCATTAAGGTCCCCTGTTATAATTGTGTTCTTGTGTATTTGATTTTTTTTTATGTCTATTAAAATTTATCTTTCATAGTTGGGTGCTCCCATATTTGGTGCATATATATTTCTGATTGTAATCTCTTCCTCTTGAATTTTTCCCCTCACAAGTATGTAGTGACCTTCTTTATCTCTTTTGATCATTCTTGGTTTGAACTTCATATTGTCTGCAAACAAAATAGCTACCTCTGTTTTTTTCTGGCTTCCTGTTGCATGGACTATTTTTTGCATCCTTTGACTTTTAGTCTCTGAATTTCCTTTTGAGTTAAATGTGGTTTTTTGTACACAGAATATGTTACATTTTGTTTCTTAATCCACTGTGGCAGTCTGTTTCTTTTCATTGGTGAGTTGGGACCATTTGCATTGATGGATATAACTGATATGTACAGACTTATCACTGTCATGTTATCTTTCTGTTGTTGGTTTTCTACTTTTTCTGTTTAATTGTTGACCCTGTTTAGTGGTTTTCTTTTGTTGTTGTTCTTGGGATTGTATTTATCTTTGTCTATTTCTGAAGTGTCTTTCAGTACTCTTTGTCATGTTGGTTTGCTGGTCATGAACTTCATCAGTTATTCTTTGTCGTAGAAGTATCTTATTTCTCCATCAGTTTTCAAAGATAGTTTTTCAAGGTACATCAATCTGGGTTAAAAGTTGTTTGCTTTCAGATACTGCAATACTTAATTCTAAGCTCTTCTTGAGTTGAAGGTTTGTGTTGAGAAGTCTGCCGTGAGTTTGATAGGCTTTCCTTCATAGGTGATCTGTTTTCTTTTCTCTGACAACTTTTAGTATTCTGTTCTTGTGCTGAATTTCTGATATCTTAATTATTATGTCTTGGTGAAGATTTTTTTGGTTATGGTTAATTGGGGTTCTGTATGCCTCACTTACCTGCATATCAGATTCTTTTCCAATGTTTGGAAAATTTTCTGCTCTCCTTTCTGTAAATAGCCTTCAGATGTCATTTGTGTTGATCCCTGCTTTTTGGTTGACACCTATCAATCCTGTATTGTTTCTCTTTGTATCATACAGCTGTTGAATTGTTTTTTCCTGGTTCCTTACTATTTCTAATGGTGTTTTTTTTCATGGTAATAATCTTCCATCCTGTCTTCTGGGTCTGAGAGTCTATCTTCAGCTTCTTTCAAGTGGTTTTGCCAGCTTTCAATGGAATTTTTCATTTCCTGAATATCCCTTTGAATCTGTTTCATGCATTCTAATTGTGTCATATTGTTCATTCAAGGTTTCCATCATTTTCTTATGTTCTTCTATTTTTTGTTTAGATCTTCTTTAGATCCACACAGTATTTCTTTCATAATGTTTGTCATTTCATTTAGATTATTTCTGATCTGATTTCCTCTATGTGAAGCAATTGCTCTTCATGGAGTTGCTTCTTTACTTCAGTTGCTATCATTTCAGAAAGTTTAATGGTAAATTTCCTGTGTCTTCCATTTCAGTGTCTCTTGGGTTTGTTCTCAGTGGGTTGGAGGACTGAGACTGCCTCTTGCTCTTTTGTTTTGTTATTTTCTTCTGGGACCTGTGTGACTTGCCAGACACCCTCCTGATGGATTGCACTGGAGCATTGCACTGAGCAGAGTTTCAATCCTCCAATATCCCGATGGCAAGCCAGGGCACACCCCCAACCTATAGCATTGGATCCTTGCGCTCTGTGGTTTGTGAGGTTGGCCGGGTGATCCCCTGATGTACTGCACTGGGGTGCTCTGGGATGCTGGGCTGGGCAGAGGTTGGATCCTCTTGTTGCTAGTAGGGACAGACTAGTTGTGTTGCTAGGGCCTAGAACCTCTGTGACCAGTGAGGCTGGTTGGGAATTCCATTGTTGGGACCAGATGGCTAGGCCAACAAATGCTTCTTAACTGAAATTTTTTGGGGAGGGCATTGACTGTCAGATTTTTCTTCATGACATGAAAAGTAACTTTTCTTATAAATAGGAACAATGTATATTTTATTTCTGTTGTAGTCATTAAAGACATTTACAGTTTTGATCATGCCTCATAGAAGAGGTATCCAGAAGAATTACTTGAGATCTTAGCAGAAGAAAAATGTGCCCATTTCTAATTAAGATGATTTATCAAAGGTGATAAGTAGCTTGGACTGGAATAGTAGATAGTGGCAGTGGTAGTCTGAAAATTATTTGGATTTGGGATATAGTTTAAGGTAAAACAAACCATCCATGAAAATGTGCTAATTGTGCCTCTGCTCTGCTTCTTCTCTTTCTTAGTTTCGCTACGCAGATGGACTGGACAAGCTGTACATGTTGCTGGGAACTCTGGCTGCTCTTATCAATGGAGCTTCCCTCCCCATCATGATGGTGGTGTTGGGCGACATGACAGACATGTTTGCAGATGTCGGAAACGATATTCCGGCAAATATTACTGACTCGCTTCTCAGTAGGTATTGTTTCTGGTACTGACTTTACTCAAAATATGTAGAAAATTACCACTTGTAGAACCCTTCTTCAATGTGCACTGCCATAGTTATAACTGTGGGAAGTGGAGGGATGGAAAACTGGCTTTTTTTTTTAGTACAGTACATGTTTGAGATAAATACTTTTTACCGTTATCTTGGGGCATGGATACAAATACATAATGCAACTTGGTTCCTTCTTTTTTAATCCTCTTCCTCATTCCTTCCCATTCCCTCCTTCTTCTTCTGAGTCCCCTTTCCCAATTTGCATTCTCATTGGTATTATTGATCTTAGCCCATGTTTGTGGAATATACATTCATTAAACTTGTTAGGCTCCTTTACATGGCAGATCTTTATTTATTTTCCCTTCCCCTCTTCCTCACCTTTTGCCCTTGGTTTCCATCTATTTATCTTCTATTGATCTCTTTATTTGTACTTCGCCTTAGTTAAATAAGAGATACCATATGGTAATTAAGTCCATGTGTCTGGTATATTTCATGCAACATTGTATTTTCCAGGTATATCCATTTTCTTACAAATGTCTGAAGCTTTCCTTTCTACATAGCTGCTTCCAGGGTTTAGCTAATATGAATTGTTCTGCTGTAAACATTGGTATGCATGTATCATTATAGTATGATGTTTTAAGCTCTTTGGAGATGATACCTAGAAAGGGATAGCTGGGTCATACAGAATTTCTAATATTAGTTCTGTGATACATACTTCCTTGGTGAGGTTAATTCGTACATCCTTGGTGAGGTATTTCATTTTTCTTGAAGTGGACTGTGAATGATATTTTCATAATTTCCTTCTGATCAACTTCATTTTTGGGATACACAAATGGTTTTTTGTGTTGACCTTGTGTTGCATCACTGATGTTGGTTATTAATTCTAAGAGGTTTTTTTTTTTTAGTTGAGTTCCTTTGGTCTTCAATGTACAGTATCATGTCATCTGCAAATAATAATAATTTGAGTTCTCTTTCTTGCATATAATCTTTTATTTCTTTCTCTTACCTGAGTGCCTAACATTGTAAGTACTGTGTTAAACAGAAGTGGTAATAGTGGGTATCCTTGTCTTGATTCTGATTTTAGAGGGAATTTTTTTGGTTTCTCCCCATTTAATATATTGGCTGATGATGTGCAATAAATAGCTTTTATCACTTTTAGGATGGTCCTTCTATATCTGTTTTCTCCAGGGTTTTCATCATGAAGTGATGTTGGAGTTTGTCAAAATCCTTTTCTGCATCTATTAATATGATCCTATGGTTTTTGACCTTGCTTCTGTTTATGTGATGTATGGAATTTACTTGATCATTATATGTGATCTTTTTCATCATGTGTTGCATTCTATCCATTAACATCTTGTTGAAGACTTTTGCATGTATGTTCATTAAACAGTGTGGCCTAGAATTTTTTTTAGTTGACTCTTAATCTGGCTTTGGGATCAGGGTGGTATTGCTTTTCATAAATGAAATTGGGAGCACTTGTCTTAGTTATGTATCTCATTACTGACACAAAATACCCAGCACTAAGGCTAATGGAGGAAAAGTTTATTTTGTCTAATAGTTTATAGAGGTTTTAGTTCATAGCCAGCTGGCTCCATGGCAGAGCATTATGGCAGAGGGGCATAACAGAGGAGAAGCAGCCCATGGCAGAGCAGACAGGAGGCAGTGAGCAATCAGCCTGTCTTCCCTCTTCCCCTTTATATTCTACCCAGATTATAAGCCCATTAATTAGTCTTACCCACACCCATGGTGGGGCTTCCATTATCCACACCCAGGATTGTGTTAAACTAATTTAATTGTCATATACCCTTTGTCCCAGTATGAGATACTTTAATCCAGCATCACACACCCATGATCCCGACACTTCCTAAAGCACCAACTATGAGCACATGTGGCCATGGGAGGACATCTAGATACAAGCCATAACATACCCCATCCCTTTCAGTTTCTTTGGAGAGCTTGAAGTGTATTAGTGGCATAACATCCTTAAAGGTTTTGTAGCATTTATCAGGTTCTGGGCTTTTTTTAGTTGATTGATTCTTTATTACCATATCAATTTTATTGCTTGTTATATGGTTGTTCAGCATAGCATCTTGGGCTAGCTTTGGTAATGTGTGTGAGTCTGGAAATAATCAGTCCATTTTTTCAAATTTCTTTTTTCTTTCTTTCTTTCGTTCTTTTTTTTTTTTTAAGACAAGTCTCCCTGTGCAGTTCAGGCTGGCCTTGAGCTCACTTTTGTAGCTCAGGCTGGTCTCGAACTTGCAACAATCCTCCTGCCTCAGCCTCCCAAGTGCTGGGATTACAGTCATGAGTCACCATGCCCAGCTCTGTTGTTGATTTCTATTTTCATTTCATAGGGGTACAGTAGAACATACGGAGTAATTTTGATTCTCATTTATTTATTTATTGGTACCGTGGATCGAATTCATGACCTCATACCTGCCAGGCTGGTGTTTATGACACTGAGCTAAATCCCCAGCCCTGTCTTTTGTATTTATCTGAGCAGGCTTTGTGGACTGGTATGTGAGTTCTGTTGTAGCAGGTGGATTAGTCTCTAGATGTCTGCTAATATGCATAATAGTGTGGTTTAGCTCTGATATTTCTTTAATGACCGTTTGTTTAGTTGATCTGTTCCTTTGCAAATGTGGGACACTGAGATCCCTCACTATGGCTATACTAGTACTTATTTGATCTTTTGTGTTCATCAGTATTTGTTTATGAAGATTGATGCTCCAGTATTCAGTGCATAAATATATATCAGTGTTTTCCCTTCTTGTTGGATTCTTTCCTCAAGCAGAATGTAATAACCTTCTTTATCTCTTCTAGTCAGTTTTATCCTAAAGTTTACTCTGAGATTAAAATTGCTAACCCTGCTTGTTTTGAGGGTCCTGGTGCATGAAATAATGTTTTTTACCCTTTGATTTTTTCACTTTGAATATTTTTTGGATTAGGTAAATCTCTTGAATACCACCGACAGCTAGATTCTGTTGCATGATCCAGTCCACCAACCTGTGAGCATCAGCTTTTGTTTGTAATGAGTTTCAGAAGGCAAATTCACAAATCTTAAAAGGCCTTATGGAAGTTCTGACAAAGATGTAAATAAAAGAAGAAAGTTCAAAGCCACAAGTGTTGCAGAGAACTTCAGGGAGAAATAGAAAAACCTATCCAGGGTCTTAGATAATAAGCTAGAATCAGTTACGAGGGTCCCTGTCAAATTGGATATGGGTGCAGTACAGGAATCCAAGATGATTGTAAAGTTTATCACCTTGGAAACTAGAGGGATACAATTACCGACAGCCGAGATGAGAAAGATGAAGGGAGAATAGATCTGTGCAATAAATAACAGAAATTAAATTTTGAACATTGTCATGGGTTGAGGTGTCTGAAAGCAAATGCAGGAATGGAGAAAAAGGACAAATATGTGTGTGTGTGTGTGTGTGTGTGTGTGTGTGTGTGTGTGTAAGAGAAAGTAAGTGAAGTTTGAAAGACAAAAGGAAGAGAATTTTTTGAGTAATGTCTTTGAGAAGAATTGGATCCATGTCTCAGGAACAAAGTTTTGCTTTGGGTAGGAGCAGGATCCTTAATCTACAGAAACAGATGGAAAGAGACAATATTTGGATGTCAGAGTCCCAAGGTGGTTAAATGATGAGGTGAGAATCTGGCAGTTTTCTTCTAATTATACCAGTCCTGTCCTCCCAAGAACTCGTAAATCCTTGAAATCTTGGGCACTACTGGATCATATATGTACCATGTTGTTTCCTATATAGACATACTTGTGATAAAATATAAATTAGGCACAACAAGAGATTAGTAACAATAATAATAAAAGCACAACAAGTGTACTATATACTGTAACAAAAATTATGTTGAGTGTGCTCTCTGGTCTCTCACAATAAGCATGTTACTGTGTTGTCCACACCATTGCCAATTGATAGCATGGTTGGTTGACTGCTGGTACTCAAACCACAGAAAGTGAAACTGAAATTAGAGGGTTGTAGGTTTTGTTTATTCCTTGTTAGATTGTGTGCAGAGAAATGAAGAAAATTCAAATTTTAATATGAGTTAGTAATTCAGAAAAAAGGCTAAATGATAATAATTTATCTTTGAAGGGTTTTGTTTTGTTTTTGCAAACTTTAGAAAAGTTTCTTCTATGTTACAAAGTGTCTTGGGGGTGGGATCCAAACTGAAAATTTATCTGTGTTTCATACGCATTTATGCACATAGGTAACATTATAAAATATTTTTAATACATTTCTGCATGAAGCAAATCTTGATGAATTGGTATTATCTGTGGGTGGTATCTTGTCAGTCCTCAAAATGTTCTGGTTTTGAAGCACTTTAGACTTTTGGAGAAATAATTAGAATGTTTTTATACTTTGAAGCTTAAATTATGACTATAAAGATTGTGTACAGGTTGGAATAGGAATGATCAAGTTGTATTTATGTTTTGATGTTTAAATTGTCAGTGTGTAAATTGTGTGCCTATCTTGAATGTGTGTGTTCAAAATGCTGATGCTATCTATAAGCAGGAAAAAGCCCCAATTCATCTCTGCCCTCAAAGCCTGTGTTATAGTTAAGCTCAAGGTAGAATGCTAGCGAATATTGAAGTTTTAAATTCTTCATAAAAATTGCAATGATGGATTTAGGTTTATTTGTTGCTTTGTTTGCTCAAGGATTTCCTCTGCCTTTAACTATTTCACTGGGAAAATTCATAAAGCTAAATTTTGAGAAATTGAATACACATATATAGGCATATGAATATTTGCTAATATTTGATGATCTTCACTAGTGTTTATATACTATTCTTTGTATTTGATAACTTTTAAATAAAATAAAACCTGGAGAAATGCGATGTTAAATTTTAAACATATGGGGCTGGGGATTTAGCTCAGCGGCATAAGTGCCTGCCTTGCAAGCAGGCGTCGTGAGTTTGATCTCCGGTACCAATAAAAATGAAAAAGACAAAAAAAAATTTTTTGAAACATATCCTTAAGTGTTAAATGTGCATTGACGCAATGGGTTTCATTTTACAGATAAGTGTTTTTGAATTTAGTCTATGTGTGATTGGCTACAGCCTGCAGGGAAGTGTTGGGATGAGTGGCATAATAATTATACCTAATAGAGATGGAGTCGGTGTGTCCTGATCTTTTTTTTTTTCTAAATTGTAATTTCAAAAATGTTTGGTTCATTTGTATGTGCTTATTTTCTAATAGAAATGAAGGGGGCATAAATGATATGTTTGTTTTGTGGTGACCTAGGTAACTTGACTGACCTGATCTACAAGCAAATGGAGGAAAGGATGACCACGTAAGTAGATGTTTTCATTTTTGTTTTCTTAGCTTTTTCCGAATCAGTCCCAAGATATTAAAACTTTGCATTATCTTCATTCAATGTTTGAAATTTTGAGGTAAACAATACCATTGTTAGGTTTTAAAGAGGATATCATGCAGAATTCTTTTTAAGGATAAGTGTTAGCTACAAAAGATATATAAAAGTAAGGTTAAGCTCCAAATAGACTCAATGCATGCGTTGGCAAACATGGGCAACCACGTACAGGGAAATTAGAGAGGCTTACAATAGCCTTTAAAAATGTAGTGGTACTTAGGGTCTCTTCATTAGCTGGTTCCAGGAGGCATGCAGAGTACCGAATGATGAGTACCAGGCAACTGTTTTGGCTGGAAAGGGTAATGAGTCAAGTGTTATCATCAACATGTGTCAAATACCAATTCCAATCCATTTCAAAGTACTAATCTAGTACTAACATATGATTGTGTTAGGAGCTGAACTAAGAATCATTCTCTTCGGTGGCTTTGTAATTACTGGCTTGCTTCTTTATGTTTCAGTCAAGATATGATAATAATGTCAGCCAGTGGGAATTTTTTAAAACTCAGTTTCTAATTCTAACCACAATACCCAGAAGAACTATAATAACTGACCTTAATAAACAGAAGGGAAATTTTTTTGTTAATGATTTACACATCTTGCAGTTTACTCTCTGGAGTAATTTATTATAACAGATGCCTGAAGATACACGTTGGTGATTCAGATGACAATGATAATGTGTTACTATGTGAATTACCCATTAGGCTTGAAGAAAGTGGAGACAGCTGTTTATATGTTGAAAGTTAAGAAACAAGTAGCCACAAATATTTCTGCGAAAAGACATTGTTTTTCATTGGAAAACCAAGAATGTCTTGGTTGGTAATGTGCGTTGCATTAGAACACATTACTGGTGGGGATTTAGCTCAGAGGCATAAGTGCCTGCTTTAGAAACGTGCAGTCATGAGTTCAATTCCCAGTACAAACAAAACAAAACAACAACAACCAAAAAGAACCCCAACTCATTACTGATTCTCAAATCATGAATTTTACTTATTAAGATTTCCTTTAGCTCTCCCTTATTATATACCCTTAATACTGGGATAATATTTAATTACTAATTTATCTATTTAGTCATTTAGTAACTAAAATTTGGAGTCTTAAGTACATGTTCTTAGATAATTACATTATAAATTACCAGGTGCACCTGGAGAGTTTTGGTTTAGCAATCTTCTTGATGGGTTGTGCACAGGATTTTGAACCATAATTATCAGAGACCAGTTTTTTATTGCATAGACATTTTTATAGCCTCGGTATTGTCCAACTATTTTTTAGAAGATAGCAAAGAATTTTTTTAAATGGGAAATTGGTATATCCAGTATTTATAATGTTTGATTTTAACCTAAAAATAAATTCCTTAGTGAAACTCAATAGTTCACTTTTCAAATATGAAGGCTTGGAGCAAAGAGCCTTCAATTTTCTTAGATAGGAAAGGTTTGAAGTTGGAAGATGTCTTTTGTTTTTATTGTGGGAGATTACACTGGAAGGAAAACCACAAATTATTCATTAAACATGATAAGATAGCTCATGACGGCCAGTTGAACAGACAGTGTAAAAATATTTTTTGTTTTGTTTCATACTTTTTGTTGTCATTTAACAAACAAATAAACAAACAAACAAGCCCTGCTGGACATGCAGCCCAAAAGGCCAGGGTACCATTTCCATGCCCTTGTTCTGCTTTCTGTGAATTCTGCACTACTTTCCATTCTGCAATGTGTGGACCTTCCTAAAGTGTTCAGACATCAGTGGGCCATTCAGGGTGGGATGACCAGGTAGACCCTAAAGGACTTCTCAGCTGGTGCTGATACAGTAAGTATAGACAGGACTACAGTGTCACACTTGCCTGATTTTCCATCATCTCACAGTTACTAGCTTGTACTCTGTACTGACTCTGTGCCAGTGCTGGCCCAAGTATAACTCACATGTGATGAGTCACTGTACTTATTTCCATGTACAATTAGAAAACAGGTTTGGGAATGGTCAGCAGCCTGAGATTACACAGGAGTTAAATCAAGAACTGAGACTGTGCCAAAGTAGAAATCACTTTTTAAAAAATTTTTATTGGAGGAGCTGACCAACAAGTCAAGTAGCCAGCCTTTATGGTAAGCTGAACAAGCCATGAGAGGCCCAGGAAGAAAAAGTCAGTGTCTTAGTTACTTTTTACTCATCGCTGAGATAAAATACCTAATGACCAAAGTTGGGAAAGGAAAGGTTTATTTCTTACAGTTTTTGGAGGTTTCAGTCCGTACTCAGTTGGCTCCAAGGCAGGGTGGCATGGTGGGGCCGCAGGGCCACAGTTCATGGCAGCTGGAAAGAGAGAGAGACACACTTTCTTCCTGCCATTACATTGTATCTGGTTCCACCCCTAGATGGCTGTAGCATTGACACCATCAATCCAAGTTAGATAATGAACCAATCACAAATGCACAAGGCAAGTGCATGAGGCCTGGGGGCTGCTGACATAAACCATAACAGACAGTTAGAGCCTCCTGTGAGTCTATGGCACGAGGGCTGAGAATCATCAACTCCCCTATCCCCTTGGAGGATAAGATGAATTGATACCAACTGAGGTACAAAAAGCAACTGAATACTTGTATTGTTTTGTTGGCTTTGTAGGCCTGGGGCCGGTGGTCTGAACATCTATGGGAAGAATAACAGTATGCAATATAGCAAATATGGGGGATTTCCTTCTATCTTGTTTTGGAAGTCCAATATTTTCGTTCTGATTATTTTTCCTTATTCAATATTCTGTTTTATTTTGGCTTGATTTTTGCAATACCTGGTAGAATGGACAACTATTGTGAAGATAACAAGATATACTATGGTAGCCATGGATGTTTTCCTATTATCCTGCTTTGAAGTTCTGTACCAATCTCACTGCTTTGTTTTGATTGAATTTATTGTTTTGTTTTGTTGGGTTTTATTATCTTTAAAATAAAACTTTAAAAATTACAAAATTTTTATTAATACATTTTTGTAGTACTTAATGTGTACATTCATTGTGGGGAGTTGGTGCATGTGCATAAGGCATCTTAATTCTCTACACACCCACTTCCCTTTCTTTCTTCATCAATCTATCAATCCTCTTCCCATTTGCAAATGATCTACCTCCTTGTCCCTTATTACCTTTTATTTTGCTCTTTAACTTATTTATACTTTGGGTTTATCATGAAGAGAAATCACTCTTGACCATTTTTCTGTAATAGTGGAGATGTAGTTAGATGTTGAACATCAACTGTGTTTGTTGCAATCCCATCTTATTGGTTAAAGGTGGTGAGATACCAGGATGAGTTGAAGTGATAATGAGTCTTCTGCATGGGAAAGATGCATCGATTAGAAAGTAGTATGTGTTTCACGTTCTTGTTTTCCAGGTATGCCTATTACTATAGTGGAATTGGAGCTGGCGTGCTTATTGCTGCTTATATTCAGGTTTCATTTTGGTGCCTGGCAGCTGGGAGACAGATATACAAAATTAGAAAACTGTTTTTCCATGCTATAATGAAGCAAGAGATAAGCTGGTTTGATGTGCATGATGTTGGGGAGCTGAACACGCGGCTAATAGAGTAAGTACCCATTTTTATGGTTGACTCACATCTAGGTTTTTTTTTTTTTTTTTATGTCTTTTTCCTTTTTATCGGTACCGGGGATTGAACTCACGACTGCCTGCTTGCAAGGCAGGCGTTTCTGCAGCTGAGCTAAACCTCTAGCCCCTTTACATCTAGTTCTTGATCTTCAAGTAATTACTTGATCTTCAAGTAATCATCAGATCTGTTAGGAGATGTTAGTACATCATTCAAGAATACTAAACTCTTCTTGAATAGTAACCCTGTCTAATGCACCTTTTGTCCTTAGTACGTAGGCAGTTATGAGGGGACCCACATGACTAGTGGTATTCAAGGAGGGGTTGGATTTGCCAGCAGTAAAGCAATAGTATAATGATTTCTGGGGAAATTTCTGGGCAATTTGAAATTTCTGAGTACTTTACTATACCATGTCCATTTCTGGGGGCCATAGTAGATACAGATTTCTGCTATTAGACAAAGTTCCTACTAGAAATTGTCTTCTTGCCAAATGAAATAGGCAAACAGAGAAAGACCATTGGTGTAAACTAATTTATCCTACTCTCAACAAAACTAAACTGAATTCAGGAAAAAAGTTCTGCATTTATAGTTGTTTACATTTTCTCTAACACTGTTCTTTTAGCGATGTCTCCAAAATTAATGAAGGAATTGGTGACAAAATTGGAATGTTCTTTCAATCACTGGCAACATTTTTGGCTGGTTTTATAATAGGATTCACATATGGTTGGAAGCTGACCCTTGTGATCTTAGCCATTAGCCCTGTTCTTGGACTGTCAGCTGGAATCGGGGCAAAGGTGGGTGAAGCCTGTGTTTTAACTCCTCCCTAAAACCCCATGGGAGGATTTTTGACTATTATAGTCTAGATGTTATAGTTCCTATTTCTATCTTTAGTTCAAAATCAGCAGGATAATCTCATCGACTCAATGAGTACCTCTCACATCAGGGCTTCATGTCTTTGGCTATGTGATTATTATGGAAAGGTATGAACAAGAAGAAAGTGGCTCTTACAACATATCTTCTGCCTGCACAAAGAGGACTTATGGAACCCTGGATATCCGTGTTCGAGAACAGACAGTGCATTAGCCATGCTGCAAGCAGAAAATGTTCAGTGAACAGCACATGTGTCCCATGCAATTAACATTTTTGACTTGAATGTTTTTAGTTTGGAGACACAGTTTTATTAGCATTGTAAATTTTTCTATTCATACACATTCCAAGCATTGTTATAAAAATAATTTAAGGAATATGCTTTTGTAAATCATTAGTCTTCAATTTTATCTCCCAATCATAGTAGTAGACCAGTAGAAGTTGGCCTTCCCCCTGATACACATGCCTCTCAGGATTTTGTAAAGCTTCTTTTCCCATTGTTGGTGGGTGTTGTATTCATTTTATAAACTGGTTTAAGGCAATATTGGGTATCTGGTGGACAGTATATAGTTTTGTTGGGTTCCACATAATTTAGAGATGACACCACAAATCCATATAGCAAAAAGATAGGAAAAACAGAAGGCTAACCAGAGCTAAGCCTAACACAAAAATAAATTAAGCTAGAAAATTTAGAAATTTTTGCGTTATTATCTGTTTCTTTTTTGTAAGAGTCTTTTTTGTCTGTGTTTTACACTCTGAGTAACTATTAAGATTATCACACACAATATATTAACAGTTCTTATTCTTTTATTCTCCCTAAGATAAATGCTTAGGAGTACAATTGTTGAATTATATAATATATAATGATTGTTTTCTATATTTTTATTGTTGTAGAGTGATACGTATTTTCTTTTCTGAAATTTAATGTCTCTCCAAAGTTCCAATTCTATTTATTGAGATGAGGATTCCCATGGTTTTCATCATGAGAAAAAGTGTAATCTATTAGGTATCTTTTCTATTGAAAAATAGTTTGAGATGATTTACACAGTGAATATATGTGCTAAATGTGGAACATCATGACCAAAAATAAGTAAGATAAACATTTTTTTCTTCATATGCCTTAATATATTTGTATATCTACATATTTTTGCATTATGTTAAAATTAACTTGTTAAAATGCCTAAATGATGTGAAATTGCATTCAAAACAGATACTGTCTTCATTTACTGATAAAGAACTCTTGTCATATGCAAAAGCTGGTGCAGTGGCTGAAGAAGTGTTGGCAGCCATAAGAACCGTGATTGCATTTGGAGGACAAAAGAAAGAACTTGAAAGGTTTGAGTTCCTTTTTAAAGTTACTAGAACTGCTAAATTCTGTGCCATCATATATGTCCTTCAGGTTGACATTGCTAATTATAAAAGGTTTTCTCCAATATAAATGCTTTCTAATAATTAGTGGTATATTGTAGCATTGCTAATATTCTGTAGAAGTTGCAAATGTTTTTGTTTAATGCAAATGTTTTGTTTTTTTATCTGCTGATACAAAAAAACTTTATGTAGTTTGCCAGCTGGACATTAACATGAAAGTAATTTTTAAGGCTAAAACGTATTTCACATCTCTTGATGAGTGTTTTGGCCTGTCAATCTAATTCTTGATATTTGAAGACTGGGTGATAACATTTTTCACAGTATCTATGGGATCATTTTAATCTGTGGACCATTTCTGTCCTTGCCCAAACTCCCATTTAGTCAAGATGTGCCCATGATTTGTAAGATAAAAATATAACTAAAAACATACTTTATAAAAGTTCAGAGTCTTTTTTATGAAGCAGTGTTAACTATAATGTTTATGATGTTCCCTTTTCTTAAATTTCTGAGAGTATAGACAATAACTTATTGAAATTCATAGCATTTATTAGATCCAGTAATTTTTCGGCATCAAGAAACTTTCTATAACATGTAACATACACCATGATAATGTATACTATATTGTTATAAACATAGGTTTTTTGCAAACAAAAAAATCTAAACTATTTGGTGTATACCATACATGATGTGATAAAGCCATAAAGAAAACAAGGAAATTTTTTTTATAAGTCAGATCACTTCTGGAAAGATGAGAAGTTGTGTGATGAAAATTGGATGCACAGCGAGGCCTCTCTAGGGCTTACTGGGGCTGTGTCTTAGCCACCCCCATGCCTACTTTAGTAGTTACCATAGAATTGTATTTAGCACTCTGCATGTGTTTGGAATCTTCATTTGTTTATATGATATATTTCATACCCTAAAATATAAATTGTGATAGCTAAGTTGGTAGCTTAGTTGTATGGCAGCAGCATCTGTGTTCTATTTAGATTCTTCCTAAGGTTTTTGCTGTTTCTCCAAAATTTTTCTCACTAACTCAGTGGGAAGTCTTACTTAATGACCACACCGACATCTCGCCACAGAAAGCCCATTGTCTCATGAGCTGAAATTGTAATGAGAGAAGAAAGGTACAGATAGGTCCAGAAAACATGTATGGAATATAATTGTTTGAATAAACATTATTTGGAGAAATAAAATACTTTTAAAAGAGTCAGAAGAATATTTAAAATGTTAAATTATAGTTTTGAAAAAATGACGGTGCTCTGATGAGGGTGAGGAGGGAAAATTTAAACATGGTGGCCAGGGAGGTCATTCTGGGGAAATATCACCTAGATTGGGGCCTGAGAGAAGAGAATAGGCCCCCTGGTGGGGGTGGGCAGAGAATGGATTAGAGGAAGCATTTTCACATAACCTAAGGTAGCAAAGACTCTGATGTTCTGGGAAATGTTATCAGGCTTGTGTAAATAGAGCTTACTCAAGGGAGAGGTGTTTAGGATGGGCCTTAACCAGAATGTGGGAATTTGTAGGTCATGATGAAAAGTTAAGAGTTTTACTCCAAAGGTGGGGAAGTGGCTTAAATAGAGGAATGGCCATTTCCCTGTCTGGAAAATCTCTAGGAAGTAGGTGAGATCAGTCAAAAGGTAGGTTCAGTGAGAGTAATGGCGGCCAGGACAGTGATCTGTTTGATAGGAATGATAGTAGCCTGACCTAGAGTAGAAGCTTCAGGTGGGTGTAGGAGTCACCTTTCAGGTTTAAATTTGGAAGCTGAATCTGTAAGATTATTCTTTGGTGAAACATAATTCTTCAGTTTGCTTTCCACTGTCTCCTCTGCACATACAAGCAAAGTCTTAGTTTCAATTTCCCTTAAAAAAATAACCAGGAGGAAGTTGACTCTCTGACTATAGGAATTTTACCAACATTATAAATGAATTTAATAGCCAGAATAGTTTTTTCTACTTAATTTAAAAAATATTTTTCTGTCCTCCATGTTTTGCCAATATGTTTGTATATTAGTATTGATTTCTTTGCTTAACTAAAATAGTTTTCAGAATAGTTGAGAAGAGTGATATTCATAAAACAGTGATATTTTGTTGTTTTACTTCAGTCCATTTTTGGAGTTCCCATTTTAATTTTTATTTTCATACTAAAGCTTCTAATGAATGTGTGATTTTCAAATCTTTTTATATGAGTGACATTTTTATTAAAAAGCAAGTCAGGAAGTCGGTTTAAAGGATTATTTGCTTATGTCTCTTTCCTTCTCTGTACCCTTTTCTTTTTTTAAATTAAATTTAATTTTTTATTTCAAAGGGAGTAAACAGAACAGTAAAATGAAGCAAAAGAAGTGATAGGACAGTAGAAAATCCACAATTGTTACTGTATTTCATATTGTCATCCTTTAAATAGTTGCTCAGACTCCCAGCACCATGCTTACAAAGTCAGTCAACAACAAAAATGTCAGGATGCTTCCGTATTTCACTTATTAGCATCTCAGATGGTGTTGTGTCCGACTGTTTGGGGTTGGGAGGCAGGAGGCCAAGACGGCTATCTTGCTGCTTCTCCCTGGCAGTAGGGCCTCAGCCCGCACACAGGGGTGCCGCACGGCTTCCTTAGTGCCTCTCCCCATTTATCTTTGATGGAATCTAAATAATTACCTCCTGTTACTGCATCTTCCTGTATAAACATTTCCTCTGGCTTCACAGGACAACATCGTATCAGTGAAATGCTTCGACGTTTGTCTTGGCAAGCACAACCGGTACTAGTACAAGGCAGAATATGATCAGAAACTCTGAAGTTCCTGATCAGTTGTGTACTATGTTCCTTATCTCAACTCCTACAGGAGGATACACGTGGGCATCTGCTCACACGCCTTTTACTGAAACATTTCTTAGTAATAGTCAAAGATGGAAAGTAGCAAGTTGGGGGCTTGTAAGTTCTGTTTATATTTCATTTTCAGTAGACAAGATTGCCACATAAATTTCACCTGATGTCCTTCTGTAACAGTGACAAAATAGCTGGTTTTTAAAAACATAACGGTAAAGGCCAGAAAATATGTGCTTACTTAAGTGGTAGTTTGAACTCTGCTGGAGAATTAATAACTTGGATATGCAAAAGGTTGATGGAATATTAATAGTTATATAGCTAATATATCAAAACTCCAAAATGTGAAATGTCTGTCAATTTACATTCTTTGGTGTCATCAATTTTGAGCTCCTCTGTTATAGGCAAGGTTCTAGATTCTTCAGGGAGTTTTGATTAAGAGAATAAAGGCAGATCCAAGGCTTAATTATAATCTTTCATACTTTTTTTTTTGGCACCGGAGATCAATCTGATGACCACACATTTGCAAGGCAGGCACTTATGTCGCTGAGCTAAATCCCCAGCCTAATCTTTTATATTTCTCTAATAATTTTACCCTTGTTGTACATTTGTAAAGTTTTCTTTTATCTGAACTCTAAACGATTATCTTATCTCTGTATGTCTCTTTTTGAGTAGGATGATCTGTTCCTTTTAAATAAAATTCAAGTTGCAGGACCTCTCCTTTATTTTAGCATTAGAAGTTCTCCACTCTTCTAAGGTTTAGCTCTTGAATTTTCATTTGAGAACTGAGTCATTAGAGCTGTAGAAATGTGCTGATAGGCACATCTTTCTACATACGTTGTTTCTTTCTAGTTTGTTTGGTGCTTGCTTGTGTTTGCTCCCTTTTGTGTAATTCATGTTTGCTCTAAAAACTCTTAATGGGTATTCTCTATTACTTTCATGCTATGATCTGGTTACAGGGCTGTAGAGGTGGTTGAAAGTTTTAGTTTTTCAGTCCTTGGAGCTACAAGAACTTGGGTGGCCCAGACCAAAAGGACGGAGCCCCTTGGTCCAGCATGGTCAGCCATGTGTGACAAAAGTTGGGAAGGCTATTTAGGCAGTGTTAAGAAAGGATAAAACAGAGGAATATTGATATGCATTATGGACTCTTTTATACCATCTAAGTCAAATACCTGTTCTAGGCAATACTTTTTGAAATAGATATCTGAGAAAATAAAAGCAATCACACAGTTCATTAAGAAAAACTATTACCTAGCAATTCAAAGCTCTGCAAATATAAGCTCACCGTGGGCCTTTCCAGCAGTCCCAGAGGGAAACGGGACAACAAGCAGACTGTCCCCAAAGTTTCCTTAAGGTTCAGAAGTTTCAGTGGCTTCCTTGTGTTTAACACTAACATTGTGTCACTATTTTATGATGAAAGAAAGAGGCATGGAGATTTTGAAGAGAAGGTAAGTTTGGAAGAGAAGATTTAGTTGCAGTCTCTGTATTCCCCTGTATACAACACAACACATGTTCCAGAAGTTTGCTGAATGTTGTGTCACTTATTTCACTCTTGCTGAGGTCAGTAAAGAAGTTTTCAAAAGACTTCCTCACAAATAACTTGCCCCCACTGAACCTTAGTTTACTCTTCTACTAGCAGAGAACAAGATAGTAATAATGTTGTAGTGTTGCTGTGTGACCAAAAGGAAAAAAACGCGTGTATACCAAGAGCCCAGAACATGGTCACTGATCAGTACTATCGTCCTCCATTGACATATTTTTCCTAAGATTTATAGGGATATGTGATAATTTTTGTTTTGTTTCCCAGGTATAATAAAAATTTAGAAGATGCTAAAAAACTTGGGATAAAGAAAGCTATCACAGCCAATGCGTCTATCGGAGCAGCTTTCTTCCTGATCTATGCGTCCTATGCTCTGGCCTTCTGGTATGGGACCACCTTGGTCCTCTCAAATGAATATACCATTGGACAAGTTCTCACTGTAAGTGACGTGTGGCTTATAAGTAGAAATGAGCCATTATTAATACCAGTGAAACCAACTGGAGTTGGCTTGACAGAAGAATATATTTTAAACAACTATTGAGCACTACGACAGACAGACATCATTAGGTTACACAGTAGGAAGGAAATAACAGTACATGTATCCAACGCTATAGCAGTTTTGTTGTTTTTCTTAAAGGTGTCTTGCAGAATTACTCCTTAAGTAAACAGCACTAACATTATTGATTTCTTCAGTGTAAACTTTGTTGATTCTTTTTTATAGTTTGATGCTAAGCACTCCATAGTGCTTGTGTATGTGTGTGTTTGAGGAAGGGTCTCACTGTGGGTTTCAGGCTGGCCTTGAACTTACTACATACCCCAGACTGACCTCAAACTCAGCAATCCTCCTGCCTCACCCTCCTTAATTAGATGAGATCCCAGTTACTGATTCTGGGAAGTGTTTCCCATGCAGTTTGACTTTGTTCACAAACTCTCTACCTGCTCCTATATCGTCAAGATTTCTACCTACTTTTCCTTCCAGCAGATTTAGTGTCTCTGTTTAATATTAGATGTTTGATCCATTTTGACTTTAGTTTAGTGCATGGTGGTAGACATGGATCTAGTTTTAGTTTTCAGCATATGGAAAGCCAGTTTTTCCAGCACCACTTATTAAAGAGCTATCTTTCTTCCAGTGTATATGTTTGGCCCCTTTGTCAAACATAAGGTGGCAAAGTGTGTTTGTAGTTGTGATTGTATCTTCCAATCTACCCCATTAATCTTCAGGTCTGTTTTTATTCCAGTACCATGCAGATTTTATCACAATAGCTTAATATAAATTCAAGTCAAGGATTGTGATGCCTCCTGCCTTAGCTTTGTTGCCCAGAATTGTCTTTGCTATTCTAGATGTCTTCAGGTTCCACATGAATTTTAGGGATGATTTCTCTAGATCTGTGAGGTATGCAAATAGTATTTTGATTGGGATTGCATTAACAAATTTGGGAGAATGGCCATTTTCATAATGTTTGTTCTTCCTATCTATGAACGTTGAATATTTTTTCATTTTCTGAAATCCTCTTTGATTTCCTGTTTTCAGTGGAATGCAGTTTTATGGAATATATATTTTACTTCCTTTGTTAGATTGATTCCTATGTATTTCATTTTTTGGATGTTATTCTGAAGAATGTGGCTTCACTTATTTCTCTCTCCATGAGATTGTTGTTACAGGACTGCTATTGATTTCTGAGTGTTGACCTTGTATCCAGCTACATTACTCAATTTGGTTAGTACGTCTAGGAGACTTTCAGTGGAGTTTTGGGGATCTTCTATGTAGAGTATCTTATCATCTGCAAATAATGATGATTTAACATCTTCCTTTCCTATTCTTATTCCTGTTATTTCTCTTTCTTGTCTAGTTGCTCTGACTAATGTTTCCAGTACTATATTGAATAAGAGTGATGATAATGAACATCCTTGTCTTGTCCTTTAGGTTGAAAGTTTTCAGTTTTTGCCATCTAGTAAAATATTGGCTGTTAGTTTGTCATAGATGGTTTGTATTAATTGGAGGCAGAGACCATCAATTCCAATTTTCTGTATTTTTTTAATCATGAATGAGTGTTGGATTTTGTTGCAAACTTTTTCTGCATCTATTGAGATGATCATGTGGTTCATGCCCTTGGCTCTGTTGGTATGTTGTATTACATTTATTGATTTACATATTGCGAACCATCCACTGCATTCCTGGCATGAATCCCACTTGATCACGGTGCATAATCTTCTTAATGACTTGTTGCATTCTATTCGCCAGAATTTTATTGAGGATTTTTGCATCTATGTTCATTAGGGAGACTGGCTTGTAATTTTCTTTTTTGGTTGGGTCTTTCTCTGGTTTTGGTATTAGAGTAATACTTGCTTCCAACAATTAGTTAGGGAGAATGTCTTCCCTTTCTATTTTATTGAACAATTTGAGGAATGTTGGCAGTAAGTGTTCCTTGAATTTCTTGTACAGTTCAGCAGTGAATCCATCAGGACCTGGGCTTTTTTTTGTTGGTACATTTTCAATTTCATTAACTGAAATTGGGTTATTTAGCAGTTTCACATCTTCTTGATTCTGCTTTGGTAATTCATATCTCTAGAAATCTGTCCATTTCTTCTGTGTTATTGAACCTATGAGAGTAAACGTTTTCTAAGTAGCTATTGATGATCTTTTGTATTTCCACAGGGTCTATAGTGATTTCACCTTTTCCTTTTCTTATTGTGTGGATTTGAATTTTTTCCTCTCTCTTTTTGACAAGGTTAGCTAGGGTTTTATCAATTTTTTTGTTTTTTTAAAGAACCAACTCTTCAATTCACTAATTCTTTGTGTTGTTTTCTAGTTTCAATTGCATTAATTTCTGCTCTGATCTGTATAATTTCCCCCTTCTTTGGGCTTCAAGTTCACTTGCTCTTTTTATAGAAGTTTGAGATGTAGCATTAGTTTGTTTATTTGTGTTCATTCAATTTTGAGTTTAGTGCAACAAATTTCCCTCTAAGTGCTATAAATTTCCTCTGAGGACGGCTTTCATTGTGTCCCACAGGTTCTGGTAAGTTGTATATGCATTTTCATTTGATTGTATATGCTGTTTAATTTCTTCTGTCACCCGTTGGTTGTTTAAGAGAGTATTATTTAGTTTCCATGTGTTTATGGTCTGCTTGTGGGTTTTTTGTAGTTAATTTCCAGTTTTGTCACACTATGGTCAGATAATATGCATGGAATTATTTCAGTTCTTTTGCATTTACTTAAGCATGTTCTGTGTAGTATATGATCTATTTTAGAGAATGATCTGTGGGTAGCTGAGAAAAATGTGTATCCTGATGTTGATGGGTGGAATACTCAGTACACATTGACCAGGTCCATTTGTTCACAAGTTTGATGATTTTTTGTTTGGTTGATCTGTCTCTTTGTGACAACAGTATATTAAGGTCCCCTGTTGTAACTGTATTGCTGTTTATTTGATTTCTTATGTCTATTAAAATTTGTCTTACATAGTTGGGTGTGCCATATTTGGCACATATACATTTATGATTGTAATCTCTTCCTCTTCAAATTGTCCCCTATCAAGTTTGTAGTGCCCTCCTTTATCTATTTTGATCATTCTTGGTTTGAAATTTACATTGTCTGCTAAAAAAATAGCTGCCCCTGCTTTTTTCTAGGTTCCTGTTGCATGAACTGTTTTTTTCCATCCTTTGACTTTCAGTCTGTGGATTTCCTTTAGAATTAAATGTGTTTCTTTTACACAGCATATTGTTGCATTTTGTTTCTTAATCCACTCTGCCAGTCTGTTTCTTTTTATTGGTGAGTTGAGACCATTTATGTCATTTATAACTGATATGTACAGCCTCATTACTGTCATGTTATCTTTCTATTGTTGGTTTGCTACTTTTTCTGTTTAATTGTTGGCCCTGCTTAGTGGCTTCCTTTTGTTGTTGTTCGTGGGATTGTATTTATCTTTGTCTCTTAAATGTCTTTCAGTACTCTTTGTTGTGTTGGTTTGATGGTCATGAATTTCATCAGTTGTTCTTTGTCATACAAGTATCTTATTTCTCCATCAGTTTTCAAAGATAGTTTTGCAAGGTACAAATTGGGTTGAAAGTTGTTTTCTTTTCTTTCAGGACCTGAAATACTTAATTCCAAAGTATTTGGAGGTTTGTGTTGACTTGAAGGTTTGTGTTGAGAAGTCTGCTATGACTCTGACAGGTTTTCCTTCATAGGTGATCTGTTTCTTTTCTCTGACAGCTTTTAGTATTCTGTTCTTGTGCTGAATTTTTTATCCTACTTATACATCTGGGTGAAGATTTATTTTGGTTATGGTTAATTAGGGTTCTGTATGCCTCACTGTATATCAGATTCTCTTCTGATGTTTGGAAAATTTTCTGCTCTTATTTCTGTAACTAGTTTTCAGATGTCATTTGTGGTGACCCCTGCTTTTTTGTTGTTATGAGTATTACATTGTTTTTCTTTGCATCATCTAGCACCTATTGAATTGTTTCCTGGTTCCTTGTTATTTTTAAGAGATCTTTATTTTCATGATCACAAGTTTCTATCATGTCTGTCATGGTTTATGTCTGTATCCCCCAGGCCTCATGAGTTTGTATTGTGTATTTGTGATTGGTTCATTGTCTAGTACTTGGATTGATGGTGTCAGTGCTCCACCCACGTAAGGGTGGAGCCAGGATGTGATGTAATGGCAGGAAGAAGGTGTGTCTTGCTCTTTTGCCAGTTCCTGCTTGCTGTTTGCAGCCACCATGAACTGGGCCCAGCCATGCCAGCCTGCCTTGGAGCCAACTGAGTACAGATTAAAACTTCCAAAAACTGTAAGAAATAAACCTTTCCTTTCCCAACTTTGGGCTTCAGGTATTTTGTCTCAGCGACGAGTAAAAAGTAACTAAGACAATGTCTTTAAGATCTGAGAGTTCAGCTTCATTCAAGTAGTTCTGCCAGTTTTGATGGAATTTTTAATTTCCTAAAAATTCCTTTGTATCTGTTTCATGCATTCTAATTCTGTCTTATATTGTTTATTCACAGTTTCCATCATTTTCTTATGTTCCTCAATTTTTTATGTAGATCTTTATGCAACATTTCCTTCATAATGTTTAGCATTTCATTTTTTACCTGAAAGATTATTTCTGGTCTGATTTCCTCTATATAAAGCAATTCCTTTTCATAGAGTTGCTTCTTTACTTCAGTTGCTGTCATTTCAGAACATTCAGTTATGTGATTTCCAGTGTCTTCCATTTTAGCATCTTTTGGCATTTTTCTCACTGAGCTGGAGGACTGGGACTGCATCTTGTTCTTTCTTTTTGACATTTTCCTCTGAGATCCATATGGTTGGCCAGCCACCCTCCTGATGGATTACACTAGAATGTTGTACTGGGCAGAGTTTCAATCCTCCATATCCCCATGGCAAGCCAGGACAAACCCCCAAGCTATGGCACTGGAGACTTGTGCTCTGTTACCTGTGAGGCTGGCTTGGCATTCCCTGATGTACTTGCACTGGGTTGCTCTGGGGCTTTGGGTTGGGTGGAGTGTGTTGCTGGGACCTAGGACCTGGCTGAGTAGAGTTCAGAAGCTCTGCTACCCAGGTGGCTAGCAGGGACCCATCCCTAGAGTATGTCACCGGGTCTTAGCACCTGGCTGGGTGGATTTCAGAATGGACCTCTGCGACCAAGGCAGCTAGCAAGGATGCACCCCCAGAACATGGCACTGGGGCCTTACATCTTACTGGGTGGAGTTCAGAAGCTCAGGGACCCAGGCAGCTAGGTGGAACCCGCCCCCTCTGAGTGAGTGTGGCAGTGCCAGGGCCTTGCATCTGGCTGAGAGGAGTTTTGAGCCTCTGAAGTGTACAGCTAACTGGAGCACATCCCCTGGGGTATGGTGCTAGGGCCTTACTCCTGGCTGCGTGAGTTTGGAGCCTACAGAAACCACCCTGTAGCTAGCAGGACTGCACCCCTAACCTATGGATCTGGGGCCTTGTGCTCTGATGGGCAGAGTTCAAATTCTCCATGACCAGCTAAGCTGGTTGCTCCTTGATGGGTGGCTCTGAGCTCTGGGCTGGGCTGGGCTCAGTACTTTGTGACCTGTGAGGCTGGTGAGGTGTCCCCGATGGATTGTGCTGGAATGCTGGGCTGGGCTGGGCAAAGCTCAGATCTTCTAACATTAATGCACCTCCCAGAGTGTGATACCGAGGCTTTGTCCCTGGCTGGGTGGAATTCAGAACCTCCGGGACCCAGGCAGCTAGGCAGAGTGCTAAATTAAAATTCTTAACCATTGAAAAAATACAAAAATATTCTGTGGTCAAATAGAACTTAAATTGTCATTTCACTAGGCAAATAAGACTAATTCTGCATGGGGGCCAGGGATTTAGCTCAGCAGCATAAGTGTCTGCCTTGCAAGCAGGCAGTTGTGAGTTCGATCCCCGGTACCAATAAAAAGGAAAAAGACAAAAAAAAAAAAAAGACTAATTCTGCATGATAAACATACTAAATAAAAGTATTTGTACTGTTTTCTTTTGAGGAATAATACTTGAATATAATATGATGTTTTGATATATGTATAAAATGCAGAATGATTAAATCTAGTTCATTGGCACCTATCATCTCACCTGACATTTTACAATGATACATTTGAAATTTAGTCTCATTTAAAAATTTAACAAATTTTAGTATCTACTACGCTTATATTGCCTGCCATTTTAAAATGGAATTAGTCATGTTGACAAAAACATGAAGTATGGAAAAAATTAGAGTAGGCAGTACATAACTAATTTTTCTTACTTCCTCAGGTCTTCTTCTCAGTATTAATCGGGGCTTTTAGTGTGGGACAGGCATCTCCACAGATTGAAGCATTTGCAAATGCAAGAGGAGCAGCTTATGAAATTTTCAGAATAATAGATAATGTAAGTCCGAACCAGCCAATTTACTTACCCAACTAAAAATTTTCTAGTGAAGAGTCAATTTTGTTGTCACTTTATTTCCACAGCCTGTCACTAGGAAGTGTTTATTGTAACCTCATCCTTTCTTAACATTTTATTTTCTTTAGGAGCCTGGCATCAACAGCTTCTCAAATGATGGACATAAACCAGACAATATTAAGGGAAATTTGGAATTCAGAAATGTTCACTTCAGTTACCCATCTAGAAAAGAAGCTATCGTAAGTGATAAATCATTAACTAATGGTTTAGCGAGCTGTTGGAGGGTTTTGAACACTTACCTTAAGTGTAAAAACAGAAAAAAATGCATGTTTATTTAAGCCTACTACGACACTCTCAGTTCATATACATATTGTGTGCTGTGTGCTGCGTGTGTATTAAAGTTTATCTCTCACTGGCCACCCCAGGTCTTGAAAGGACTCAACTTAACGGTGCAGAGTGGGCAGACAGTGGCTCTGGTTGGAAATAGCGGCTGTGGGAAAAGCACAACGGTGCAACTAATACAGAGGCTTTACGACCCCAGCGAGGGTGTGGTGAGCTCAATGCCTGGCCCTTGACAGTTACTATCGTAGATCCTGCTCATGTTATGGTCCCAACCACAAGTGTGTGAAGGTTACACTTGTTTTTCATTTTAGATCAGTATTGATGGTCAGGACATCAGGACCCTAAATGTAAGATATCTGCGGGAAATTATTGGTGTGGTGAGTCAGGAACCTGTGCTGTTTGCCACCACAATAGCTGAAAACATCCGCTATGGTCGTGAAAATGTCACCATGGATGAGATTGAGAAAGCTATCAAGGAAGCCAATGCTTATGATTTCATCATGAAACTGCCTCATGTGAGTGGTTCCTGTCCTCTGTTCAGTAGTACAAAGCATCATGGCACTCTGGCCCAGTGCAGTGCATAGGAAGATAGGAATAGAAGTCAAGATTACATTGGATTTCAAAGCTCTGCAACTATCAAACTAGGTATAGATAAACATATTTAAAACTTGGAGTTATTGCTGAGTTTAAATAACTAGATTGCAGTGCCTGTGAGATTTGGTGGTTTATTGGATTACTTCCCAACTTTAAATTCTTTGCTCAGTCCTTTTATGATTTCTCTGTTGCAGAAATTTGACACTCTGGTTGGAGAGAGAGGGGCCCAACTGAGTGGTGGACAGAAACAGAGAATTGCTATTGCACGTGCGCTGGTGCGAAACCCCAAGATCCTGCTTCTGGATGAGGCCACATCAGCCTTGGACACAGAAAGCGAAGCAGTGGTTCAAGTGGCTCTGGATAAGGTTTGTGAGTCGCAGAACTGGTTCATGAGTGCAGTGAAATTCCACTGTTAATTTCTTCTTTTTTAAAAAATTCTCACCTGTCCTGAAAAGGAGGGATATTTCATTTTTCCCCCAATTTTATTTTTTTATTAGTACATGTTTGCAATACTTGCAGTTTAGTCATTTTGGGGAGCAGGTACAAGTACATAATGCAGCTGTGTCTCTGTTTAATACCATTCCCCTTCCCTCCCACTCCCTCCTCTTCTAAATCCCCTTTCCCCATTTTCATTCTTGACATGTTTGCAGTACATAATGATTACATTTCCTATGGGGAGTTTGGACATACAAATCCTATATTTTATTTCTTTTTTCATCCCATTTTCTTCTCTTTGTTCCCTCTCTCCTCTATCTCTTGTCCTCTTCCAATTTGCAAAAATATCTTTCTTCTTATTTCTTAATATCTTTTATTTTGTCCTTTAGTTACATTTTGGGTGTCTCACATAAGACAAACCATGTGATACTTAAATCTGTGTGTTTGATTTGTTTCATTTAACATCATGATCTCAGACTTCATTTTTCCTACAAATGACATATGTATTTCCTTCTTTATGGCAGAATAGTACTCCATTGTGTGTAAATATCACATTTTTAAAATCCACTTATCAGTTGATGGCTATAGAGACTTAGCTATTACGAATTTTGCTTCTGTAAATATGAGTGTTCATGTAACGTTGTAATCTGAAGCCTTTAACTCTTTCAGGAAGATAACTAGCAGGGCAATAGCTGGGTCAGGTAGAATGTCTACTTTAAGTTTTCTGAGGAATTTCCATACTGATTTCCACAACGATGGTACTAGTTTACCATCCCACTCACAGTGTAGTGGGCTCTCTTTCCCCCACAGCTTTGCTAGCACTTATTATTATTTGAATTGCTGATGATATCAGTTCTTTCTGAACTAAGATGGACTCGGAGCATCTTTAATTTGAATTTCTCTAATGGACAGAGATGCTGAACATTTTTGTGAATTTGTTGGTCATTTGCACTTCTTCTGAAAAGTGTGTGTTCATTTCAGTTGCCTATGTTTTCATTGGGTTTTTTATTTTGGGAAGTTAATTTTTTTGAGTTCTTTATATATTCTAGATATTTACCTGACCAAGGACTGGCTGGCAAAAATTATTCCCATTCTGCAGGTTGTCTTTTTACTCTATTGATTATTTCTGTGAAGAAGCTTTTTAATTTTTTTAAATTTTATTTTAAAGGGAAAAAATAAAAACAATGAAACAGAATTTCAAAACAAGATAATATCTTGTATTCTGAGCAACTGCTTTGAAGATAACAATACACAATGTATTAACCATTGAAGCTTTTTAATTTGATATGGTTCCATTTGCTGACTCTTGTTATCTTTTGTGCAGTTGGGGTTCTGTCTAGAAAATCATTGCTTACACCTACGTCTTCAAGAATTTTACCTATTTTATTTTCTAGCAGAATGAAGTGTTTCTGTTTTAACATTTAAACTTTTGAGCAATTTTGACTTTAGTAGACAGTAAGATATGAGTCTAGATTAAATCATCTGCATGTAGATATCCAGTTTTCACAGAACCATTTATTAAGAGGCAGTCTTTCTTGCAGTATACATTTTAGGCTCTTTCATCCAAGGACAAATATTAAGTATGCTTGGGATTGCTGCTATGTCCTCTGTTCTGTGCCACATGTGTGTTTTAGTGACTATTCCATGGTGATTTTGTCCCTGTAATCTTCTTGTAGTATAATTGAAGTTCAAGTATTGTGGTTCCTTACATCTTTGTCTTTTTATTTTATTTTATTTTATTTTAAAGAAGATAAACCCAAGGAAAATAAAACAATAAGATCAATCAAAACGGACAAGTATAAGTGATACAAGGCTTCAAAACATTACATAATTAACAATAGTTAACAAAATGCCTCTTGTTGTCTTCAAAATAGCTACAGATACTTTGGACATAGTAAAAATCAAATAGAACAGAATAGAATAGAAACAATACAAACAAAATAATGAATGCAATAAAGGACTTCAAAACAAGACAATAGTAAATTCAAAATGGTTACCATAATACATCTTGCTGCCTTTGAAGTAGCTGCCCATGCCATTGAATATAACAAAATCAAACAAAACAAAACAAAGAATAAAACCCAACTCCCCAAAACAATGAAAACAGTATAGGACTTCCAAAACAAGACAGTAGGGAATCAATAGGGCCACCACTCTCAGAAGATTCCTCCTAGATGCCACACTGTGTACCACTGTCCTCTGAACAGATGATCAGACCACTGGCCCTAGACCTGCAAGGTCAGTGAAACACCAAAACACCACAAGCATCAATTTGCATTTCACCTCAATAGCTATCTTTGCAGCCTGTGTTGCTCTGAATCAGCTGGGTGTGTAGAGGGGAGCAGGTGGGACTGGTTCTTGTTTGCCAGCCCGCCCAGTGAAAGGGGCTGGGGTGGGCCAACCCCACCCGGCCCCTGATGGTGGCCCACACCTGGCTCTGGTTTGCAGTGAGTTTGCAGTCCACAAATAGTGCTGACTCAAGGGAGAGACTTGGGTCTGCCTGTCCCTCTGCTGGGACACCCGGGCATGGCGCTGGTTCCCAGAGAAGGGGGCTTGCCTCTTGACAAGGCCTTGTTCTCTGTGCCCTCTGCAGCCTGTGAATGGTGCCTTACATCTTTGCCTTGTTGCCTAGACTGCCCTTGCTGTTCTAGGTCCCTTCTAGTTCTGCATGAATGATAGAAAATGTAGCCACTTTAACAAATGGTGCTAGGAAAGCTGATCTCCCACATGTGGAAGAATGACCCGAGATCTATCTCTCTCCCTGTACTAAAATTAAAGTGGATCAAAGATATAGGTATAAATACAGAAACACTGAATCTGCTGGAAGAAAATATTGGTAAAACTCTTGAATACATAGGCATAGGCAAGAACTTTTCCCCACAGAGCCTCAATTTCATAAGAAATAGCACAAATCAACAAAATTATATCAAATTAAGATGTTTCTGCTTTGCAAAAGGAACAACTAATGCAATAAAGAGGCAACCCATAGAATGGGAAAAAATTTTGCCAGCCATTCCCTGAAAAGTATTGTAAACCTAAATATCGAGTTCAGTCATCCAAGTATTGTAATCCTCTAATTTTCCTCACAATCCAAAAAGTTATATTTGTAATCCCACTGAGACATTATTGGAATCCTAGCAAGTTAATTCTAATCTACCACCACCAATGCAACCACGGCAAGAGTAAAGACACCAAGACATGTTCCAAGTTAAGAGCAACCAAGGGGTCCTAAGTCTAATCCTTGTGAGGATGTGCAGACAAAGGCCTTGATCCTAGGCCTCTCCCAGCATTTATTATCTTGTGAAGAAAGGGGGGTAGTTTGGGATGAGTGATAGTGAGGATGTCTGGGACTACGGAATAACTTGAGCTGGCTGGCCAGGTGCCAGGTTGGCATCTCTGTAATTTGCAGAGATAAAGTTATGCAGAAGGATCAATTTACAGTTAACCCAATTAAGGTAGCAGTGGAATTGTTTTGGGGGGCTTCAGTTTTTGATATGCAAACTCTTGTGCCCTGGGGAGTCATAGCCTCTTATCTTGAGGCTCTTACCCATTTGACATTCCCAGAGCTATTTACTCTAACTTCTGACCAGCTCAATCCTGTATTGTGGAGAGCACCATGTGAGGAAACAGGACTGTCTGATGGCTATAGACTTTGCACATTAGCACCTCAGCTAGCCTGATTTGCAATGCACAGAGCCAGTAGAAGAGAGAAGGAAATACCCTAGCCAGCCTTTTACTTATCAGTATAAGGAAATGTGTCCCTAATAATCAAAGTCACAGCAATTGTTTTGGATTCAAAGTGAGTCACTGGAGTTGTCTCCCACAGAGAAGAACATTATCTAGGACTCAAAAATATTAGACTCCCTCCAAATGAAAAACAAAACAAAACAAATCTGGTCAAAATATATGCAATTGAAATGAATAGGCAATGAAGTAGGAAATGAAGTAAAAATAGCCAATAGGTACACGAAAGCGTTTTTGGCATCTTAGGCCATTTGAGAAATGCAAATCAAATAATACTGATATTCCATCTTAGTCCTGAAAGAAAGGCTATTATGAACTCAAAAAACAGGAAATGGTGGCAAGGCTGTAGGGTAAAAGAACCCTTCCATGTTGTTGGAGGGAATATGAACCAGTATAATCACTGAGGAGAAATCAATATGGAAGGTCTTCAGAAAACTAAAATCAGAAATTTCCTTTTGACCCAACTATACCTCTTCTGGGCTTCTTGCCAAAAGTTAAAGGCATCAGATTTCAGCAATACATTCACACACATGTTTCTAGCAGTACAGTTCATAATAGCTAAATCTTAAAAGTGGCCTATATGCCCAATAACGGATGAATGGATAATGAAAGTGATATATAACTCAGCCATAAATAAAGATAAGACTGTAATGCTAAGTGAAATATATCAGACAGACATGGTTAAATGTCATGTAGTTGCTTTTCTATGAGAAAAGTGTAAACAATTTAGAGAACAAAATAAAAGGTAAGTGACAGGAAAAAGGGAAATAGATCTTTTGGAGATGTGAAGGGGAGCTAGGGAATGAGGGAGAGGGAAAACGGGTTCTAAAAAGGATGGGTTATACATATATATCAGCATGAATGTATCTATTGTGTTCTATGAACATGTGCTAATAAAGCAAATTTTAAAAGACGTTAAAATACATGAGACCAAGAGTAATGATACTGAATAAAGAAATAAAAAATGCATAATTACAGGATATTTCTGTGATAGCTCAGACCCCGGAATAAAACCCAAGGAAGCAAGAAATTAAAATTTGGGGAGCAAAGGCTTTATTTTAGGCCAGGCCTGGTGTCACAGTCTCCAGGAGCCAATTTGGAGACTGCGCGCCTTACAGCTAGAAAGGTTGGGTTTTAAAGCTGAAAGCCACAGGAATGTTGTAATTCCTGACACAGATAGCATCTGGGCTTTATAGAACTTGGAGAATATGAAACGTTTGAGAAATATATTTTATTCAAATATAATTGTTTAAGAATTTGTGATAATTCAGACTTACTCTGGACTAATCTTATTATCATTCAAACAAGAATTTGATAATCTGGGAAACTTTGAAAATACTGGAAAATGAAAATGAAATGGAAAATGCCTTAAATATACTGTACAAACTAAGTGAACATTACATAGTTTTGTAGTGGTAACATGTAAATAAAAAGTTAATCAAGGGTTTTTACATGATGCGATAAAAATGTGTATGTGCTAAAAGAAAAAATATTAAATTTGTATCAAAGTAAGTTCTTAAATTCTCACTTGAAATTACTTATGTTGTCTCAATTTCCTGTATTTTGTGACCAGTTTTTGCCCCTTTTATAACTTTAGAATAATAAAACTGTGCACTTTATAAAACCCCTTTATTATTTGTCTTGATCATACAATTTGTCCTGTGAGACAGAATGTTACGATTCTTAAGGCTGATTATTAGCTGATAAATAAGAGTATAACACATTGATTACACATTTATTGACATTAGATACTGTTTTCCATAGCTTTGCTGGTTTTACAATGTCTGGACCATTGCATATAGCAATATAAGTTGAACATAAGAGCTTTATACATGGAATTGTTAATGGATTCATAAGTTCTGTTTTTCTTTCCTTAGGCCCGAGAAGGCAGAACCACAATTGTGATAGCTCATCGCTTGTCCACAGTTCGGAATGCTGATGTCATTGCTGGATTTGAAGATGGAGTCATTGTAGAAAAAGGAAATCATGATGAACTCATGAAAGAGAAGGGTGTTTACTACAATCTCGTCACAATGCAGGTTTGGTCGATCTCTGAATATACAATGGATTATTTCAGTGATAGGCTGACATCCTGTTTAATGCTAACAATAGATGGTATGTGACTTACGTTGAAAAGCAAGGAAAAATAATTAGAGAATTCAGCATCAGACCAGCATTTTATATACTTTTTCTTGAAAAGATTTGTGTTAAATAAAGATGATTAAAATATATTTTAACGAGTTCAGAAGTACTCGGTACAGTAGTAACCTCTAGCAATGTGTCTACTCTACTTTTCAGTAGTGGGTAATCTGAATTGAAATGTTGTAAGTAGAAAATGCACAAGAGGGTGTGAAGAGTTTGTTGCAAGAAATGCAAAATACTCAAGGATTTCTAACATTGATTACATATTGAAATGATAATATTGGATGTCAATAACATCTTGGGGATATTAGGTTAAATAAAATGTGTAACTAAAATTGACTTTATTTGGAAACCAATCTTTGATAAAATGGGAACCTGGAAAAAGGCAGGGAAATTATTCTGTTTGCAGGCAGTATGAACTTCAAAAATGATTGAAAGACATAAAGAAGACTGCTACATACTTGATAGGGGAAAAATACAAGAGGAAGAAATAACAACCATAAATATGTATGCACCAAATATGGAAGTACCCAACTATAGAAGACAAATACTATCAGACATGAAAAATCAAGTAAACAATAGCACAATTGTAATGGGGTACGATAATATTCCACTGCACAAAGAGATAGGTTAACTAGACAAAAAATCAGCAAAGAAATAAAAGAATTGAACCAACCTTGTAAACACATGGACTTAGTAGACTTTAACACAGTGTTCCATCCAATGGCATATACACATTTTTCTCAATTGCACATGGAACATTCACTAAAATAGACCATATACTAACCTACATACAAAACTACAAAACTCCATAAGCATATGGAAATTAAATAACATCCTCTTGAACAACTAATGGGTTATAGATGAATTTAAAAAAGAAATTAAGCATTATCTACAGTCAAACAAAAATTAAAATATAACAGAAACTGTAGGACACAAAGCAGTCAGGAAATTTTACAGCAGTGAATTCTTACATCAGGAAAACAGAATGAGCACAAATAAACAACCTAATACTCCACATAAAGCTTCTAGAAAAAGAAGAACAAATCAAACCCAATGCCCATACAAAGAAGGAAATTATAAAAATCAGAGCAGAAATTAATGCAATTGAGACTAAGAAAACAATATAAAGAATTAATGAGTTGAAGAGTTGGTTCTTTGAAAAAATGAACAAAATTGATAAACCCTAGCCAACCTTATCAAAAAAGGAAAGAAAAAGACTTAAATTCATTGAGGAATGAAATTGTTGCAGAGCCTGTGGAAGTCTGGATGATCATCAATACCTATTTCAAAAATCTTTATGTGCACAGAATACAAAACACAGAAGAAGTGGACAGATTTCTAGAAACATGAATTACCAAAGCTGAATCAAGAAGATACAGAAATTCTGAATAACCCAATATCAGTTAATGAAATTGAAAACAATAAAAAACTTACCAACAAAGAAAAGCCAAGGTCCTGATGGATTCACAGCTGAATGCTACTAGAAATTTGGGGAAGATTTAATGCCAATACTCCTCAAACTCTTCAATGAAATTGAAAGGGAAGCAATTCTCCCTAACTCATTCCTAGAGACAAGTATTACTCTGATAACAAAACCAGAGAAAGACCCAACAAAAAAAAGAGAACAGACCAATTTCTCTAATGAACATAAGTGCAAAAATTCTCAATAAGATACTAGCAAAAGAATGCATCAAATCGTCAAGAAGATTATACTAAATGGGATTCATCCCAAAAATGGAGGGATTGTTCAACATACATAAAGCAATAAACATGATATACTGTATCAACAGAGCCAAGACAAAAACCACATGATCATCTCAAAAGATGCAGAAAAAGCTTTTGATGAAATCTAACATTCATTAAAAAATCCTACATAAAATCAGAATAGATGGTCTTTTATCTCAGTCTGGTAAAAGCCATCTGTGACAAACCAACAGTCAACATGGTCAAAAACTGAAACCTTTCAATCTAAAAATCAGAGCAAGACTAGAATGCCCACTATCACCACTCCTACTCAGTGTAATTCTGGGAATATTAGCCAGAGTGGTTAAACAAGAGAGAAAAATAAAAGGAATAAAGATAGGAAAGGAAGAAGTTAAATCATCATTATTTGCAGACGACATGATACTCTACATAGAAGACCCCAAAAACCCCACCAAAAGATTTGTAGAGTTAACCAAATTCAGTATGTAGCTGAATACAAGGTTAACACTCAAAAATCAATAGCATTCCTGTATGCAAACAACAAAACTCACACAGAGTAATAAGTAAAACCACATCCTTCACAACAGCATTCAAAAAAATAAGGTACTTAGGAATCAACCTAACAGGAAGTAAAAGATCTCTACATTAAAAATTACAGTACTATAAAAGGAGATCAAATAGAATATAAGGAAATGGATATTCCTTGGACATGAATAGAAAGAACCAACATTTTGAAAATGGCTATACTTCCAAAAGTGTTATACAGATTAAATGCAATTCTTATTAAAATACCATTAATATATACCTCACATATCTAGAGAAAGCATCCCTAAAATTCAATTGAAAACAGAAGTGTCCTAGAATAGTAAAAAGGCAATCCTGGGCAACAAAAGCAAGGCATATGGCATTATAATCCCTGATTTGAAATTACACTACGAATCTGCTATGACAAAATCAGCTTGGTACTGGCAAAAAACAGACCTAAGGATCAATGGAATAGATTAGAATATACAGACACAACTACAGACACTCAGCCACCTTGCCTTTGACAGAGAGGCCAAACATGTACACTGAAAGAGCCTCTTTAATAAGTGGTGCTGGCAAAACTGGCTTTCCACATGCCCTCAAACTAGACCCATGTCTATCTCTGTGCATTAAATTAAAGTCAAAATGGATAAAGATCTAAATATTAAAAAAGAAACACTAAATATACTGGAAGAGAATGTAGGTAAAAATCTTGAATATGTAAGTCGAGGCAAAGTGTGCATGAGCAAAACCAAACTTCATAAGAGGTACTTTGAAACATCAACTAGGATGTCATCTTTTTTTATTATATTTTTTTGTCGTTTTGAGACAGATGGATGCAGTTCTCTATGCAGTTCAGGCTGCCCTTGAGCTCACTTTGTAGTCCAGTCTGGTCTTGAACTCACAACCATCTTCCTGCCTCAGCACAGGCCTGAGCCACCACGCCTGGATTAGGATCTCATCTTATTAAAAAGTTTTACACATCAAAAGAAATCACCAATAGAATGAAAATGAAATCCACAGATTGGGAAAAAATTTTAGCCAACTATCCCTCAAAGGACTTAGATCTAGAAGATAACAAAGAATTTTTAAAAATCAGGCCCCTCAATTTCAAAGACTCAATCCAAAAATGGGCATCTGATATGAATACATAATCCTCAGATGAAGAAATACAAATGGCAAATAAATATATGAAAAAATGTTCAACATCATTGGTTAGTAGAGGTATGCAAATTAAAACAACATTGAGATTACATCTTACCCCAGAAAGAATAGCTATCCTCAAGAAATTAACCAATGAGAATGCTGGTGGAAATATTGGGAAAAAGGAACACTTCTCCACTGTTGATGGGAGTGTCAGTAATACAACCACTGTGGGAATCACTGTAGAGATTCCTCAAAAAACTAGGATTGGAGGTTCCATTAAACTCAGCTATTCCCCTTCTGTGTATTTTCCCAGAAGAACTGAAAACATTATACCTTAGTGATATATGTGCACTCATGTTTATAGCAGCACAATTTGTAATTGCTAAATGTTGAAAACAACCCAAATGTCCATCAGCTGTGGAATGTATAAAAAATGTTGTATTTTTATACAATGGAGTAACTACTTATCTATAAAAAAGTATAAACTCAAGACTTTTATAGGTAAATGGATTCAACCGTGTTCCATAGTCATAAGTGAAATAAATCACGTGTGTGTAAATTGCATGTGTAAACATCATATTGTCTCCCTAGTGTAAGAAAATGAGAGTGAATAACATCCCAAATCTACCATAGATATTGTGAAAGAGAAGGAAACTGCTCAAAAAGAAAGAACGCCTTGGATGGGGAAAAGGAGAAAAGACAAAAAGACAAAAGAAAAAATATGTATGCATATATACACAGGGATAAGCGATCTAAGATAGTTTAGTACTAATTTCTTTTAATTCATTGAAGAGTATGGTTTGTACTTATTTTGTTTGATCAATTTTGCGTGCCTATATCTTGTAATCTGAGCAACTACTTTGAAGATAACAATACACAGTATATTAACTCCTTTTACTTCCTATTGTTTTTTCTTTAAAATAAAAAAATTAAACTGACTGTGTCTTTTTTCACATTTTAAAATGAGAATTTAGAAAATTTCAGATGTGGCTCGTACTGCATTTCTTTTAACCCTGGTCCAAAGCAAACTTCACTGAACCAAATCCCCACAGAAAGACACACAGAAAGGATTTAAAATTTTTTTAGCACTTCAAGGGGAAATTTGCATATCTTCCAGTATATCACACAGAAAAGAAATAATAGTTTAATGTAATTCTTTCCTATAGTTAATTAAATTGTAATTTCCTTTGTGTCTAATGTTTGATAATTTTCATTCCTTAACAGAGTCTCATGGGTTATGCATATTTCTTGGTTTGTTTTAGACCAAAGGAAGTGATAATGAATTAGAAAATGAAGTTTGTGAATCCACAGATGAAGCTGATGCCTTAACTATGTCCTCAAGAGATTCAAGATCCAGTCTAAAAAGAAGATCAACTCGGAAGAATGCACATGAAGCACAAGGCCAAGAGAGAAAGCTCAGCACAAAGGAGGCCCTGGTATGCAGGAAGATGTAGTTTCTCTTTTAATGTAATTTTTTTATTAGTACATGTTTGTAGTGCATAATGATTACATTCATCATGAAGATTTGTCCAGGTCTTAATTCTTTTTTTTACCCCTTCCCTCCCGCCAACCTTTGCTCTCCTTCCCATTTACAAAAATTCTATTTCCATTTCTTCCTTTTGTTTTCTTTAAATCCCTTTTCCTTTCCTTTCCTGTTCCGTCTCCATCTCTTATACCCCTGCTCATTTGAGTCCTACTTCTTAATATCTGTCTTCCATTTTGTATTTTGGCTTTCTCACACAAATGAAGCAGTATGATATTTAAACTTGTGTGGTTTGATTTATTTCACTTAAGATTATGGTATCGAGATACATCCACTTATCTTAAAATATCTCATTTATCCTTCTTTATGGCAGAGTAATAGTCTATTGTGTATAAATACCACATTTTCTTTATCCATTCATGGGCATCTGGGCTGTTTCCAAGATTTAGCTATTATAAATTGTGATGCTATAAACATAGGTAGGCATGTATCACTAGTGTGTGATGACTTTAACTCTTTCGGAAATATGTCTAAAAGGGGACTGGTTGGGTCAAATGGAACTTCTAGTTTTAGTTGTTTGAGAAATCTCCATTCTGGTTTCCATAGTGAACTAATACATAAAATATATAAAGAACTCAAAAAAATTGGACCCTCTGAATTTAAAGATCCAATTAAAAATGGGTATCTGAAGTGAATAGACCCTTCTCAGATGAGGAAGTACAAATGGCCAATAAGTATATGAAAAAAATGCTCAACATCTCTGGCAAATTAAAATGTAAATTAAAACAACAGTGAGATTCCATCTAACTTCAGAAATAATGACTGTCATCAAGATATCAACCAATAGCAAATGATGGTGAGGCTTTGGAGAAAAAGGATCCCTTTTACCCTGTTGGTGGGCCTGAAAATTGATATGACCACCATGGAAAGGAGGACATACCGTTTTATGTAGTGAACCCTCCCCGTATTGTTCTCCAGTTGGTGGGGGAATCTGCTGCTGGGCTACAAGTAAGAACAAGCAATGATTTTTCAGAATGTTCCATAAACTCAAATGTCAACATTTTACAATGGTTGGAATTTAAATATACAAATTCATAGAAAGATTTAGAATTAGAATTTATAATGTAAAGAGCCTTGGAGGTCTTCAGATATTAAAATTTCTATCCTGTTCATCTCTATTTGTTAATAATCTTGTCATACTCTGAATAGTAAACCAAGAGTTAAATAATTGTTGATACATCCTTTATTGCTTTAAAACTATGTGGTACCATTAAGGGAATTTGTCAGCATTTTCTCAAAGCTAAATAGCTACCAGTTGATTAGGAATAAGAATACAATATATTTATTTTAAAATTTTGTATATAAAATAATTATGCCTCATAAAATCAACTATTCATCCATTTTGTAACCGGTATTTTTGTCATGTTTTATGTTATCTAGGATGAAAATGTACCTCCCGTATCCTTTTGGAGAATTCTGAAGTTGAATTTAACTGAATGGCCTTATTTAGTAGTTGGTGTGATTTGTGCCATTATAAATGGAGGCTTGCAACCAGCATTTGCAGTAATATTTTCAAAAATCATTGGGGTAAGTGTTTATGTCTATTTTTGTGTTTGCTTTTGAGTCCTGACTCAAGAATGAAAGAACTGTTCGTATTTGTCCTAGTGTACATAACCCTCCAACTGTATGCTTGACGTGAAACCAACCAGCTAGTCGATGTAAAATAGAAGTGTAGGCTGAGAGAAAAGCAATTTTGTAAACTGTCCTAGTCATGGTTTCTATCCAGGGTGTGTCGTTGCTATTCCAGCTCCCTGAGATAGTCAGTGGCATTAGTGAGGTGACTTTTCTATTCCTGCCATCGATGGGTTCTGAGCAAGAGCTGTGTCCCTTCACTAGTATACAGTGGGCTTCCTCAGGTGTTTATCGGACAGAATTGAGAATGACCTGCTCTATAACATACTACTGGACCCAGCGACCAGGCTTAGCATGCTACCTGTGTCAGATGTAATTGTCATGTCACTTGCTAAGACTAAAATAAAAGGAAAGAGTTTCCTACTAGATATTGAGGTTGACAGCTTGTATCTACCAAGTCTAGCAGTGGCATTTTCAGTGATAAGTTAGAGCTTAGGCAAGCAGGTTCTTTGCTTAGTGAAAGATTGTCAACCATGGAGCCAAGGTCACCCTTGCCGTATTGTTGAAAATCTTGTGTAGAGAGATTGATTCACACAAGAAACGCAAATCGAGCAACAGATTTTTATTTTATAACACAGAAAATCTTTAACTATTCAGGCTGACTGAGGACTGTTGATTTCAGGTTGATACTTATATTATTGAATTCATTCATTTATTGAATTCATTCAATAAATCCCTCTTCTCTGTGTAAGTTGCTCAGAAGTAGGTTACTTGCCTAGAAGGGGTGTGACCTTGGGTTCAAGATCCAGTAAGACAAAAAAGGTAAATAAACGAATAACTCAGTGTCTGTTTTGTGCCAGGTAGTTTTATACATGCTGAAAAAGTAGGAAGGAGACAAATGCTTGCCATGCAGTGTGTGTTCTAGCACAGGGAGCAGAAAGCTCTGCCTGTAAAATGGAAGTGAGCGGATATTTTAGGTTCCCTGGCCAATATGGTCTCTCTCGCAATGATTGATTCTGTTCTTGTGGAGCCACAGCTGTGATAAACAGTCTGGAAACAAACAGTGAACAACGATGAATTCCACAGAAACTTGATGTAAACATGGTGTGTAGCTTGCTGACCCTTGTCCTATCGGTGTCTTGTAGGCAGGAGAAGTAGGCTGTGCTGCCACCAGAAGCGAAGAGTGGAACTGAATGATTTAGCAATGAGTTTGGCTGTGTGTAATGGAAATTTGGTTTAGGGAATTTATATTTTCCCATGGTTATATTTATATTTATTTATGTTTATTCCTGTAAATAGTAGCCTGGAGTTCTGTCATGCAGGGCTGGCTTGAGAACTCCAAGATACTGAGTGTGCAGCCAGTATTCACCCTGTTGTAAATAGTGGGCTCTGATCACTTGAGTTTATGTCCTTGTGTCATCCATGCTGGCTGTGTTCATTGGAGCAGGTTAATCCATCTGTCTAAAATCTGAGTTAATGGTTACCATAGTAAGACATCTGGTGCTCAGTCAGCCGGCCATAGTTCCCATCAATCTGCCCCCAAGCCTCCTTTGTTTTGGAAAACCCTGGGCTGAGTGAATTGCACCTGTCTATGGTTACCAAAACACATCACCTTTTCTCTAGACACCTCAGGACAATTTGGAAGGTTCACCTAGTAAAACAGTGCCTTGCTGTACAAGTCTCCAACGGAAAAGGAAGATGTTTGCATTTCTTTTTTTATATACTAAGCGGGCACTCATTGCCCCATGAGGTAAACTGAGCATGAAAAGTATCACATCAATTTGTGAATGACAGTCCACAGGGAAGAAAGAAAGAAAGGTAGATGGAGGTCCGCATTACGGAAGCCAATCCTGATACACAGTGTAAACAGCTCCCCTCAACCCCAAAGGGATGCCATTTCATAAATGGGTCAGGACATTAATGATTTCTTAATACGTGAATCAACAATCTTTAATATTTTCTCACAGATTTTTACAAGAAATGTTGATCCTGAAACAAAACGACAGAACAGTAATCTGTTTTCACTAATGTTTCTAGTCCTTGGAATTGTCTCTTTCATTACATTTTTCCTACAGGTAAGTGCCTACATTTTTATTTTATTATTTAGGAGACTAATAAACATCCATATATTTTTCCTATTAGTGCAATAGCTCCATTGTGAACTCGGCTACTAAAAACCACATTTTTTTGTCCCCTTACTCTCTTGCTTAACAATCTCCCCCCCAACTGGAAATGTTGGTGAATCAGAAGGAATAAGCTGCTGTCCTATTATGCTGATTGAAAATACAAGGTGGAGATTCAAACTGGCTTGGATGTCATTTTAGATTAAGTACTGCTGGACAATTTACATACTCAAATATCTTGCCAAATTTTATCAATAAGAAACAAACAAAACTTTCTAAACAGGTCACACTGCTTTCAAAAGAGTTTGGGAAGCTTATCGATCAACTACTTTTGTTAAAGGAAAAAAGAACTCTTATTAATGGATGAATGTCAATTCTCAAAGCTACAAAAATAAGTTTTAGAGTCAAATTTACAGATCATTTAAAATAAAACTGCAAAGGAATGAAGAGCCATAAGAGATTTAGTGTGATATTCCAGGATCAAATTGGTGCTCACTGAAGTTTGAGCATCACTTGCATAAGTATCCTATTGTGTGTCCTTGTCGAGTAGGTAGTTTATACTGTCTAAGCGTCAATTTTTTAATCTGTGAAATAGGAACAATATTGCCTATAGGTATAGAGAGTTTTCATAACCAAGTGCTCAGCAGGGGGAAATAATCACTTGTTAAATGAATGAGTGATTAGCCACATATATATTTTTTCTTTTATCGTTAAAACTTCTGAATGTGCCTTTAATGTATTATAAGCATACATTAAATTGCATTAACAGATAGTACACTGTTCTGACATTATAAGATGTACAGAGACTGTGTCTTTACTGAATATTTACAGTCTCACTGGGGACTTCAGTGTCACTGGAATGAACAAACTCACTACATACACTATTGCTATACCAACTATTACTGCCACTGGATTTCAGAGAAGCAAAGACTGAGCAGTGTCAAGTTGACTAAGGAACCCAGAGGTAGATAGGCTTGGAGCCGGTCCCTTCAGTCTTTGACCATTTGGCAGGGGAAGCAAGGGGAGGAAAGCCACACAGAATAATACTTGGAGCCTGAGCTTGCCTTCCTGCCACAGTCTGGTTCACAAGAATGGTTGGTGAAGTCCAGAGCCTCCAAAGTGTAGAGAATGCCCAGTGGTTAGAAAGGCTGGAGTGCCCATGGACTCATTTCAGAAACACAGGAAAGGAACTCCCGGGAATATGAAAACTAAGATGCTGGGTTCCTGTGCTCATGAGGATTCTCAAAGACCTCCACTCAGTTCCAGCTCCACAACCTTATAATTGTGGCCTCTAGCATCTCACCAGGCTCCTCTTGAACTTCAGTTTCTTCTGCAGTAGGGTGATCACAGGTTTGTCATAAGCAGTTAATAAGATGGGTATGTAAAACACTGTGTTGTGTAAGGCTAGCCATGTCATCCAAAAAATAGTAAGCCATGTCACCTTCTATTTGCTCCAACTGCAGACATCCTAGTGTAATCATTTCCAAGTAAATATAGACACTAATCGTTTCAACCTTAACCTCAGTCAGTACAGGATTATTCTCTTCTCTTGCCTCATGCATGAATGATATGCTTGAACAGATGGTTATGTCACATCACAGCTTGGCTGTGAAGTCTGTGGCCTGTGGATGTTGTGTACTTGACACACGCTGGCAGTCTGAGAGATCCATGGCCCTTTTTGGCCTTTGAGCTACATGGCTCCCAAAACCACACAAAACTTTGCACTGTTTCTTCTCCGTTTCGGTAACACTCAACATGGTACTGGGAATGCCAGCTAGGTCACTGCCCACCTCTATTACTGATACTGTGAGAGATTGGAGGCTGTTACCAGGGCCCCTCCCCTTCTCAGGCACCACATACCATTTCCACCCTGCTTTGCCAGGCCTTTATGTGGCAGGCCTTACTATTAGCTGCCACTTTGAGTTCTAGGAAGAAGGAAGAGCTCCGTGCAGGAGTAGGGTTCTGTTATCTTTTGTCCCTGGACATGGCCTAGAAGCACTCAAATCTTATCATGCTCTTTCCCAGGAGCTCTATTCCCTCCGCCCAAATTCAGAAGATGATAGTCTAGAAGAGGTACATGGAAGAATGTTCTCTTAGGGAGCTTTCCACCTCCACCTATTTCGCTTCCACAGTTTGACTTTTTTACATGAAAACTAAGAATTGTTTACTGTTCTCCAAACCCTTTTACGACTAGGGTGACCACAAGTACTTTTTTCCAGACTATACTCCAGGTCCTTGTTTCCTTATGAATAATAAATCTTTTCACTGTCACAAAGGCCCAGGTTGGGTGACACATGAGGTAGCGCCTGTATTTCCAGTGCCCACTGCCTTAGGAGCAGCACCAACTCCCTGATAGAGCACTGCTCACCAGGGAATCAAGTAGAGCTGGGAGTAAGGGACAGAACACATTCCCAATAAACCTCTGACCAGCCGGCCAGCTTCTTTGGAGTGGCAGGGTCAGTGTCGTAGCGCAGCTCTTCTGGCTACACGCCTCTGCTCCCTTGTAGCTTGCTACATAGTACATGGCCACGAAGCAATACAGCCTAGAAAACAAACCTCCTCAGCAGTGCTGTCAAGCTCCCCTCTTTTCTGTAACTGGTGGCTGAGTGTCTGACACATTGTCTGGATACCATGTTCTCTTTCTCCGTAGGGCTTCACGTTTGGCAAAGCTGGAGAGATTCTCACCAAGCGGCTCCGGTACCTGGTCTTCAGGTCCATGCTGAGACAGGTATGTCTGGGAGGGCTGAGTCCTGGGATGTGCAGGAATCCACAGGCTCAGGCAGTCAGAGCTTGGTCAGATTACCTGGACTCTGTGCAGCGTCAGTTGTCCCTCAGTCTCATCTCAGATAAGGGACAGAACCATCTCCAGTTGTATTCTGGGGCCTCTGTGTTCAGCCTGTCTGCAGGACTTCTTCTGATTGTTTGTTCAACTTCTCTTTCTTGGTGAGGAGAGAGAGTCATGACAGCCCATAAGAACACAGATCTGTCCAGGGGAAGAAGCACTTTTACAAGGGTACACAGTTTCTGTTGAGGCCAGCAGCACACATAGGATTCTCTTGCTGGCAAATGAACAGAGAAAGTGTGCTTTGCCTCCAGGCCTCCCCAGGGGCTGTTACTTCTTTCCTTCAGATATTCTCATTGTTCCCTTCATTCCGTTTTCCGCTTGGGAGTCTCTGCAGAGTGCACCTCTCTTGTCTCCACCCCTGTTCTAAAAACAGCATCTTCTCTTACTTTATCTTTTTACACTGCTCTATTTTTGTCCTATTTCTGTCTTTAGAAACTAGGCTTTGCTGGCACTGTTCATGATTTTAGAAATCATCCTTGAAAAAACACCAGGCACTCACAGTTTGTGGTCTTTTTTTTCTAATTGGATGATCTATTTTTGTGTTTTGTGTATTAAAGTCCCTTTGTTGTCTATGGAATGTTACATCCTGAAGCTAAATGAAAGGGAGTTATTTATAAACAGAACTGAGTTGGTCACTTTATTCTTGTAGCTAAGAGTCTTATCAACAGGACTGTAAAATAATAAAATCTCTTTTCTACCACAGGATGTGAGCTGGTTTGACAACCCTAGAAACACCACTGGAGCACTGACTGCCAGACTTGCTAATGACGCCTCTCAAGTGAAAGGGGTGTGTGCTTTGTCTCTGTTTGCATTTGATATACTTGGCCATTTTGAAACTTAGGGTCTGATTATAGATATTAGTCATCATCTCCATTAAAAATGTTAAGTAAAAAAGATCAAGATATGATATTTGTATGTACCAGTTCCCCATAATAAATGCATTTATTATGTATTGCAAACATATACTAATAAAAATTATTTGCAATAAGTAAAGAAAATGTTAGATACCAACCCCCAAAATATATTACATATTTAATAACAAAAATGTTGACAATGTAAACATTATTTACTAAACAATGTAACTTTTAGTTCCTTTTGTAATCAGGATGCATATAGAAAAGCAGTTGTTTAGTATAATTTATTTTTCAGAATATCATTCAGGATCAGTCTATGTTAGAGCTCAGTCAACAGAAAATTATTACCGCTATTGAAAAAAAAGATGTTTGACCACTGTCACAAAGTTTAGGGCTGCTGAAGTTCAGAGTAAAGGGAAGAAAGTATTTTTAAAAATGGGTTGAAACATGAGGCAGGAGGATCATTGCAAGTTTGAGATAAGCCTGGGCTACAAAGTGAACCCAAGATCAGCCTGAACTGCATAGCCAAGACCCTGTCTCAAAAAGACAAAAGGGCTGAAACAACTGAAAAGCACACTAAAAAAATAAAGTACAGGTAGCAGGAATAAGTTCAAACTGTCAAACCACCAGGTTTGCACACTATTGACGTGGCTTAATCCTGCTAACCATAAACCAGAAGAAACCATTACTCATGGATTCTTTCATTTTATTTGGATATGTTGTTATTCAGGGGGATAGGGGATAAAAGAATCATACAGAAATTAAAAGGAACAAGGTATCTTGAAACTTTGCTCTGGGAGAAAGTGGCTGAGGAATGGTGAAGTGAAATACTCATAATTTCAAAACAAAGTTTAGAAAATATCCTCTTTTTTTCCTAATGACCACAGTATTTTATAATTGGTGTTGAAGGGCTGTGATGGTGTTCTGAGGAGAAAATAGCAGGAGAGGAAGAACAGGAACAGGAGTTCGCTCCTCAGAGTTCTGCAGACTCCTGCTCCATGTGAGGCATGGGGAGTGTCAGGCTTGAGAATGAACAATCAACAATCCTCTAAATCAGAGGCGTAGGGGGCTTCACCCCCACACAGTGTGGAGTCCTGGGTTTTCAAGTACCACTTTCCTGTATGCTAAAGAGAATGTTGTTGTCTCTGGTCCATCCTACTGATTTCTGGGGTTCGTGCCTGCCATCCACAGTTGGATGTCTGGTTTCTTCAACATGATGTGGCAAGGCAGCTCCTGCTGTGAACTGGGGAATGTTTTGGGTGCTTCTCTCAGTCCGCAGGGATGTGGGAAGTGAGTTGTAAAAAGGACACGGGGTTCCTGAGAACAGGAGCCACAGACTTCATCCCTGCTTAGCAGACTCTCTCCAGGTCGCATCAGTCGAGCTTCATGTGGAAAATGTGCAGGATAGAGAACTACATTTGAAGGCCCTTGAAGGCCTGTCTGCTGTGTGATATTGCCAAATTTTGCAAAGCATTCTTTTACTATATGTTTAATGACAGTGTCAGATAAAAGTGTGATGTATTTTTATGCTCTTTCCTTCAACCATGGCACTGTACCCTTGTGTATAATTTAGTATATATGAAGGCTACTGAGAGTTGTGGGGTTGTTTCCCTGTTAAGTATTAATCTAGTGATTATATCAGAAACATTAAGTCAATATGGGGTATGTATCAGGGTATAAAGGGTTCCATCCCAGAATTCAGCGTGGAGAGCTGTGGTTATTAGTCAGTGCATCTGCTCAGAATGATGTGAGGTCACCGAGTATTTCCGAGGCAGCAGAGAGGTGAGACACTGAATTCCATAGCAATGGACCGAATGCACTTTGTGTATTGCCTGCTGGTGGCAATCACTGTTCACTTTTGAATGCTGTGGTCAGGCTTCCTGCCAACATTCAAGCTGAAAATCACATGACAGCTTAGTAGAAGCTATATTTCATAAGTGTAAACTCCATAATTTTCCAAATAAAATCCAAGTGATCACTTTTATGCCTATGTTTTGTAATCTGAACAACTGCTTTGAAGATAACAATATGCTATATGTTAGCCATTGTTAGTCTATTATTTTGTTTTGAACTTCTGTATCATTTTTAATCTTTTTTCATTTAATTTAATTTATCTATTTGTTTTATGGGGATCAAACTCATGACCTTGTGCTTGCCAGGCAAGTGCTTACAGCTCTTTTTTCATTTTAAAATTTAAAAAAGAATTTCAAATAGATTTAAATATACTTTGGGAATTTCTACTATTCCCAGTTTAGTGTCACTCTTCCTTTTTTGGTACCAGGAATCGAACTCAGGTACTCTTCTCCTCCTCCTCCTCCTCCTCCTCCTCCTTCTTCCCCTTCTTCCCCCTCCCCCTTTTCCTCCTTGTCATCGTCGTCATCTTCTTCTTCTTCTTCTTCTTCTTCTTCTTCTTCTTCTTCTTCTTCTTCTTCTTCTTCTTCTTCTTCTTCCTCTTCTTCTTCTTCCTTCTTCCTCTTCTTTCTCTTCCTCTTCTTCCTCTTCTTCTTCTTCCTCTTCTTCCTCTTCCTCTTCTTCTTCTTCTTCCTCTTCCTCTTCTTCTTCTTCCTCTTCTTCCTCTTCCTCCTCTTCCTCTTCTTCTTCTTCCTCTTCTTCCTCTTCCTCTTCTTCTTCCTCTTCTTCCTCTTCTTCCTCTTCCTCTTCCTCTTCTTTTTCTTCTTCTTCCTCTTCTTCTTCTTCTTCTTCTTCCTCCTCCTCCTCCTCCTCCCCCTCCTCCTCCTCCTTCTCCTTCTTCTTCTTCCTCTGTAATTTGCAGAGCTTGCTGTAGTGACCATCTTATGATTAAGGTATTCTTGGTATTTAAAAAGTTGGAAAAGATAGAACTGTGTAGTTGAACTCTAGATTGTTGGTCTTTTACTTTCATTGTTTATTCAGAAGTCATATATATCCTCATTTTCAAAATTGCTCAAATTGCTAAATTGAATAGATTTTTAGGAAAGCGAATTGTCATAGTCCTTAAGAATACATAATCATGGATTTTGAATACAGCATAAAAATATGACTCTAATTTGTTTCTTTTTCCAGGCTATAGGTTCCAGGCTTGCTATAATTACCCAGAATATAGCAAATCTTGGGACAGGAATTATTATATCCTTTGTCTATGGCTGGCAATTGACACTTTTACTCCTAGCCATTGTACCCATCATGGCATTAGCAGGATTTGTTGAGATGAAAATGCTTTCTGGACATGCACTCAAAGATAAGAAAGAACTGGAACATTCTGGGAAGGTGAGTCAAAGGAAATACATTCTAACTAGTCCTTCTGCATTGCTTCCTATTGCCTGTGACCCTCTGAGAACATTTTTGAAACCCTTCCTCTAAGCAATATTTCTTGTGTTTATTCTGTAGATTAGAAGCTAAATAAAAGAAGCACAAACGTCCTTAGCTCTCAGTGCCAATCTGACTGGAGAGGGCTTTTGTAGTTTCAAGCCCTTGTCTTCACATTCTTCTCTCTTCCTGTCCTTCAGTTATTTCTTTTTGCTTTTCTTACTCCTCACCTCATTCTTTCTCATCCTCTATTGTTTCTGTTTTGTATGCTCAAATCAATTTCTTCATTTTAAAAAGGCCAGTTTATTACCTGTAATGAGAGATTCAATATGGAAAAGTCCTTAGGGCACCCACTTCTCTTTTATCATGCCTCTCCTCCTCATCCTATCTCAGTTTCTCCTCCACTTCCTACTTTCTTCAGAGCTTGCTTGTGTGATTTTCTCTCATTTTTTAATAAATAATGTGACTTCTGTGACATTCAGTGTCTCTTGGCACATGCCTACTCCTTATGACAGCACAGTGAGGTGAGTTCTGTGCTCATGTCTTTGTTGAGTCTCAAGCACAGGCACGCAGTAGTCCCATTGCTCAAGAGCTGGTAAATTCGAGTCAGGATTCAAACTCAGCTGTGCTCCTGTGGGCAAAAAAAAGGGGTGGGGGCATTGTTTTGATGGCAGAATATATTCTGATACTACATGGCAGACATGAGAGGTCAGAGCAGGGCTGACCCCCAAACCAGGCCTGATGTCTAGAGAAGGGAGCATCTACTGATGCACACTGTGTTTTCACAGGAATCAGGGCAGGATGCAGGCAGGTAAGGTTGCTCTGGGTTTCAGCAGCCCAGGTGGCTAAGGTGCTTCTTCATACACTTTGACCCTTGTGGTCTGGCTGTGGTCCAACCTACATAACTTTGGTCCCAACCAGGGCGTACACCCTATGCTGATAAGTCTGTTTAATGATGTACTTTGTTTTTCTTTCTTCTTATAGTCTTGACTTTTTCCTGAACAAACAGTGCAAAATATAGGATAAAATTTATCAAAACAAAAGCACTTTCGTTTAATCATGCCACTAATGACACATTTGAAGTATCTTAGAGAAGAATGATAGAATGTTTATGGGAAGAAAATGGCCAATCCTAAATGAATTTATGGCTAACAAAATTTAGCATTTTGAAGTGGTGCATCTAATATGAGATTGTTAAGAACTTTATTAGGAAGGCTGAGGGAAGGGCTGCAAATGGATACGGATATATGTAAATATGGCAGATTTTCTAAGTTAGGAAGGTGGCAAATGCTCTAATTCAGTTGTAGCATGAAGGGAAAGTGGTGGTTGTGGCACAGCCAGTCCACGCAGTGTTGAAAATCAGTCACCATGTGGTCACACTTTTTAGGTGACTATTTATTGTTTATGGTATACCTGATTTTATACTGGGAACACTTCAAATGTTATCTTATTTAGTGCTTCAAAGAACAGAATTATCCCTTCTAGAGAGAGAAGAAAGCTGAAGATTCAGAAATCAAAGTCACATAGACAAAATCTCCCTACCGATGTACTTCTTATATCCCTGTCCACATAGATTCTCTACTCTTCTCACAAAAGCCCCCCAATTTCCTGTAATGCAAGTCAGATCATACTGACCCCTAATTTAAACCCTACAGTGCTTCTGATCATATTTGTAATCAGATCACTCCTCTTGCCCTAGCTGTGAAACCCTGCATGATTCATCCCCTGGTGCTCTCTGTGACCTCAACTTGTACCACTTGCCTGTATCCATGCTGTTCTAGCTTCACACATTTACTTGTAATTTCTGAAACATGCCAGCCTGGGTCCTTTGGTCTTCCCATGACTGAATTCTCAGATCTCAAATTATTACCTTTGCAGAGAGGCCTTTTCTGATACCTCAGTTAGTTCATTACCCATGTCAGCTTTTGTTATTTTCCTTTTTTTTGCTTACTAAATAAATGATCTGCTGTCTTCCTTGCTATGCTGGGACCAGAACTACTTCTGTTGATTTTCCCTTAAAGAGATACAGCATGCTTTGGAATCTAGAGAAAGTTGATGTGATCTCAGAGTGTACTTGCTCCCCAAATCTGTGTCATCAGAACCTCTTCATGACTTCTACATTGTGCATTATTTGTGCTTGTAGTTTTCTATACATTATTATGGATTAATGAGATATTGTATGAAATCCAACAATCAAAGTCATAATCAAATTTCAATGTTTATAGTCATGATCAGACTCCAGCTTATTTGAGGGTAGGAAGAGAATTATGGAGATTTTTGTTCATTTTTTTATGTCTGAAAACATTTTCCTTTTGCAGAAGTATTCAGAAGATGTTGCTTTCTCAGGGAACATTGGTACTTACTCTCTATAGTTAAGGTTCCCCTGCCTCATTGTGATTACTGAATCTTTATTTACAATTCTGGAAACCCAATAGCATATTAAATGGAGAGAAACTGAGACCATTTCCTCTAAATTCAGGAATAAAATGAGGGCATACTCTCACTATTCCTGTTTAATGAAATGCTTGAAATTTTAACCACAACAATTAGGTGAGACAAAGAAATAAAAGGGATACAAATCAGAAAAGTAAAAATCAAGTTATCCTTATTTGGAGTTGTTATGATCCTGTATTTAAAAGACTCCATGAAAAGGCTTTTAGCACTGACCTAGCAAAATAGTGGGATTCAAAATTAATATTAAAAAGCAATAGCTTTTATGGAACAATGAAGCAGCCAACAAAAAAAATCAAGAAAAACAATTCCATCATAATATCTTTAAAACAAAGGCTAGGAGTCAACCTAACCAATGAAGTGAGATATCTTTACTTGAAAACTACAGAGTACTGATTAAAAAAACACACTGGAAGACAGACTTAGCTGCAAGGATATTTATTACAATATATTTTGGTAAGGAAAAAATTGAAGAGATTGAGCAAAAATAAAGAAATGATATTGTCTATTGAAATCCCATTATTAATGTAGATGTTATTACTTTGGGAAATAGTTTTGATATTTATTAAGATAAAACACAGTGACAAACAAATATAGAAATACATTTCTCTTTGGTAAAGATGTAATCCAGGTATGTTACCAAACACCTTTAGTCCCTGACACTCAGGATGCTGATGCAGAAAAGGATCTCAGGTGGAAGGCCATCCTGGTCAAGCTACTGAGGCATCGTCTCAAAATGAAGAAAAACTGTTGGTGTTGTAGTTAAGTAGGAGTGTGTTCATCTAGTATGTATGAAGCCCTGAGGCCAACCCCTAGCTTCCCCCTAATTGTGTATGCTTAGAAAGTACAACATAAGCTAATTTGTAAGATATACTAACATGTAACTTCATGTTATTTTTTTATTATTGACAGTTAATTTCTCAATTATTATTGAGTTGTCATGAATGGCAGTTATAAAGAGAAAAATACAAATAATCACATTTTTGTAAATATAGAAAGTAACTGTTAGAATTTTAAATCTAAATATGAAAGAAGCAACAACACTGCAGATGCTGTATTATTCTGAGTCTTCAGGTTAATTTTGTAAAACTGTATGTAAATATTTAGCTTTGGGCAGGTGCTTTCAACCCTTTGAACCTAAGCTTCTTCTGTAAAGAGGGAAGGATTGAATTGGTTCATCTTCCTTCCAGATCTAAAACTTAGTTTGATAAATTCTTTAATTACTTCTTCCAAGGACACGATGCTTACAGGAAATACCAAATAATAAATTAAAAATGTAATGATAAAAGAATTTGGTTAGTCCATTTGGCAGGATTAAAGCTTATTGTTCCACTATGCCACTTCCTGATCAATGATCTCTGTTACAGATAGCTACTGAAGCAATAGAAAACTTCCGAACTGTTGTTTCTTTGACTTGGGAAGAGAAATTTGAACGAATGTATGAACAAAGTTTGCAGGTACCATACAGGTAATAATGACTGAAGAGTGTGAAGAGATTTTCAATCATCAGATCTGTTTTTAGAAGGATTACTTTGCCAGGCAGGTATATAGTATTAGAAGGGAACCAATTGGAAAGATTTGGTGATTACACAGAAGTGAAATCATGAGACCAAACTAAGGCGGGCATATCTCTAAGACAGAACATGGAACAGTGGGTAACACATGACAGTAAGTCAGGGAAAGGACCAAAAGAAGGGCTCTCTGTTGCCCATGTGGAGTTGCCCATTAGGATTTGCTCTGATTGAGGAGTGAGCCCTTTTTATATCACGCAAATTGAACTGTCAGTACACATGGAGGGGATGATATTGCCAGAGTGTACTCTTCCCAATTTTCTTCACTTCTCAGCAGACCCCTTCTGTTCTTCCTTCAACACTCTCATCCCAGTGAGAGTTTAATATATGATGTGCCCAATAATATGAACAGGTTCAACCTTTTGAGTCTCAGTTTCCTCTCTATTTTACTAGAAAGAACATAACTGTCAATGGATTTTCAGATGTTTTAGTGATCCAAGAGTTTTTTTCTGAAGTTTTCATCTGAAAGTCTGCTGTGTGACAGAGATGAAGGGCATTTTGATATAGTTGGAGCAGGAGGATGCTCAGAGGGCTGCCCACTCACCAACCTGAGGCTGCCTCCCCAGCCTTACCACTGAACTACATGTCTCTCAGAAACCTGAAATCTTGATTCCTTTATTAAAAATTCCCCAATGCACCCTAAGACTGTTTCAATGAACTGTTGTTCACATGGGACTTCCATGTTATAGGTAATTATATAGGACGACTATTATATCCCTGAGGGCAGGTGCTACCTACTCTGTGTCACTCAGCATGGCCCTGTTCCCCTGTTTTACTATTATCATGTGTTGTGTAGATCTGTGTGGATGAATGTTGACAATGCAGAGCACATATGTCCTTTGTCCAGCTGTTGAAAAAAGAGAGGGAACTTTTATTTATTAATCCATGGCAGGCTTCGTATAGAGTTCATCATTTTAGTTTACCATTACTTTAATACATTGAAGTGTAGTTAATCCTTCATTAAGGATGAACATAGAAATGAATTACTAACTCAATTCATACAACTGGAAGTAAAATGAGGATCAGATTTGTTCTTTGGAAACGAAATCCCTTTTTGCCACAATTCTGTGCCCTACTTCCAGTCTATGAAAATTTATAGTTTAAGGACCAAGAAATGACAGTAGAGTAAATTTTCCAATATCTTATTTGCAGAAACTCTTTGAAGAAAGCACAAATCTTTGGAATCTCATTTTCCTTATCTCAGGCCATGATGTGTTTTTCTTATGCTGCTTGTTTCCGATTTGGTGCCTTCTTGGTAGCACAAAGTCTCATGGATTTTGAAAGTGTCCTGTTGTAAGTACTGGGTTAATAGTGACAATTTAACTATAAAAAGATAATCTTGGGATGATGTGGTTCATATGAAGCCCCAGGAAGAGATTCTGATGATTGAGAAAGTAGCATTTTTTCCTCTAGGTTTCTGTGTGTTCATGTGGGAGTAACATTTCTATTCCAATACTGACATGTATCTGACCCTCAATTTGTGGCTGGGTGGGTAACTCAACCTTGAGGTTATCAGGAGGCCTTAGAATTGAGAAGGAAGCAGAACCCTGAAGGAACCCTTGTAAAGGGCTTTCCAGCTGAAAGGGCTGGGAGGTACCCTCTATTCCTTCAAACCAGGGAGATCCCAGGATAAAAATGCTTTCTCTTGAGAGATCAGTTGCAAAATAAGTGCTAGAGAAATAAAAATATAACAAACAGAAAACTAGATCATGATTTTTCTGCTGCATTGCTGTTGGATATAGAATACTGTACCATGGTCTGGAAATGTTAAGCTTGAGCTTATTTATACTGCTAATATATCCAAATATGTACTTTGGCAGTGAAAACATATGGTGTATTTGGTCTTTCAGATTTGGAGACAGATATAAGTCTTCCCTTTGTTAGCAGGCCTGACTAATAACAATACTGTTTTACATTGAAACCAGAGTCATGGAACATAATGTGCTAGTATATGATTTCTGTGATATTTAGACATTGGCTTATTCATGCATTATAGATTATATTGAACCTAACAAGAAACATGCCTGACAAATTAAGTCAAACATCAAGTTTTGACTGGATAATTATTTTATATATTGATTTACTCCAACTCTTTGAATTGATGAATATTGCTGTGCTTTGACATTTGCTTTGCAAAATCAGTCTTTCAAATAAGTAAAAGGAGACACTTCTGAAGAGCAGTCCAACTGAAGAAGGTCCCAAAGTTTAAATAACAAGGACAAAACCATCTGTGTCATTTGTTCAGGAAAAGGTTGAAAGAAAAAAAAATACCACACTGATGCATTACCACACATGTAGGGTCCAGAGGGAAAGAAATGATGGAGTCCCCATATTCTGGAAGGGTTCACTAGTCTTACATCAATCAGTTCCTGGCCTCATGTTTAAAGAAACACATTGATAACCATGTCCAAAAGGTAGTGAAATGCATTATCAAAGAAGCAAAAGCTTTTGAACAGTGTTCAAAAATGAAGGATTGCCAAATGAAGATTTTTCTTCTGTTTTTTAAACAAACAAACAAGAAACTCTTTTTAACAGTATAGGTAGGCAGGGGCTGGGGATTTAGCTCAGTGGCATAAGTGCCTGTCTTGCAAGCAGGAAGTCGTGAGTTCGATCCCCGGTACCGATAAAAAGGAAAAAGACAAAAAAAATAAAAAATAAAAAACAGTATAGGTAGGCAGAGTTTCTGTTTTCAAAAACGGATCATTACAGTATTAGGCTCTAGAGTCTCACATCAGAGATTAGGGATACAAATGAGAGCAGCATGATAACTTGGGTGCTCAAGGAGCATTCTTTTAGCTGCTTATTCACAGATTTTTTATCCAGCAATACTCACTATATGCAATGTCGATTGCTACATAGTATTTTATAACCACAAGTCACAGTGATAATACAGCGTGTTGGCTATTGTTTTGGCACAAATCTGTGGGTCAGTTATGATTGAGGTTTGGCGTAGTGGGTCTCAGCTCAGTTCACTTGTGTGTTTGCAGTGAATTACAGCATAGTCAGAGATGAGTGGGACAGTGAAAGGGCATGAGAGCCAACAAAGCACTCAGACCCCTTGAGTCATAGACTTGGAACAGGCAACAGTGACTTCCACCACTTCCTGTGGAACACAGTAGTTACCAAGCCAACTCACATGCAGAGGTTGGAAAACAAACTCCACTTCATAAACAGGAGTGCAGTAAGGCAGGGAGTGGAGACTAAGAGGTGAAAGGGTGATGTTGTGCGTGTCATCTGAACATGAACTTATAAGGAAGGTGTTTATTTTTTAACTTCTGTTTTATAATTATCTGAGGAAATGCTTCCTGGTTGTAGAAGTGTCCCCTTGCTAGCTATATAGCCCTGACTGTGTACACATTTTGTCTTCTGTTTTCCAGGGTATTTTCAACCATAGTCTTTGGTGCCATGGCAGTCGGGCAGGTCAGTTCGTTTGCCCCTGACTATGCCAAAGCCAAAATGTCAGCTTCCCACATCATCATGATCATTGAAAAAGCCCCTGTTATTGACAGCTACAGCTCGGCAGGCCTGAAACCGGTGGGTTTGATGCATCTACTTTATTATAATCTGTTCCAAACTCCTGAATGAAAATGTTCAAAGATGTAGTTAGCTTTTTCTAGTCCTGGAGTTTGAAGCCAGGATCTTTACACAGCTATATCCCAGCTCCCTCCTCCCTTTTTTTTTTTAATTTCTCATTTTCAGACAAATCTTGAAACAATAACATCTTAATTACTTTTCTCTCTCATTGTTGATACAAAATACCTGATGCCCAAAGTTAGGAAAGGAAAGGTTTATTTCTTACAGGTTGGAGGTTTCAGTCTATACTAACTTGGCTCCCAAGCAAAATAAGATGTTAGGGCGGCCACTCATGGTCAGCTGCAAACAGCAAGGGCAAACAGCAAAAGAAAGAGAGACACAGCTGCTTCTCACCGTTACAATGTATGTTGGCTCTATCCCTGGGTGGGTGTAGCACTCATACCACCAATCGGAACACTAGACAGTGAACCAATCACAAATGCTAGATTTGGTCATGTCTATGATTACATGACGCTTGGGAAGGGCATCCTGAACATAAACCATAACAGTTCACCCCTGGCTCCCAGCAAAGACTCATGTACATCCTTTATACAAAAGACATTTAGTCCATCTTCAAGAGTTCCAAAGTCCTAACAGTTTCAGCATTGTTAAAAAGTTCAAGTCCCAAGTCTCCTCCAAGATTTAAGGCAAACTCTTAACTGCAAGCCCCTATACAAATGAAAACAAAATTAAACACTTCTAACATACAATGGCACAAGATAAACATTACCATTCCAAAGGTTACAGACAGGGGAGTTCAAAGCATTGGAACCAAAGCAAGCCCAAAATCCACCAGGGTGAACATTAAGTCTTGAAGTTCCACACTCAGCATCTGCATAAATCTATTTGCAAGCTCCAAAAGGCTTGAGTGACTCCACTCCCACAGCATCTCCAGGGGTTTCTGTTCCCATAACTTCCCTCTTAAGCCCATTCTGCTCAGTCTTTGCAGCTTTCCTTGGATGATCCACATTCCTGACTTTTCCAAACTTCTGGGGTCTCCCTTCCACTTTTGGCTTCACATTTATAGCTTTATATACTGTTTTCTCAGGGGCACATTGCTTGGCTTCCCAGACCTTCTGAAATTAGGGAGGAAGCTGCCTTAACCTCAGAACTCATGCATTTTTCTTGAACTTAAAGCCAGTACCACGTGGATGCTGTCAAGGTCTGCTGCCAGCTAGAGCAGTAGCCAGGCTTTTCTCTCTCTTGGCTGCAGGGATAGAGAGCCCTGATCATTGAGCTCCTTGAACCTGATTGGGAGGAACCACTACCATTCTGGAATTTGATGTGGCCACAACCATTCCTGTGGCCTCCATCACCACTCTGGAACACAGCCCTCTGCAGCTTTCTCCACTGAGAAGTCTTTCACTTTTGCAGTTTTGAGGCTGTGAAGGGTAAAGACCTGCTGCTTCTTAGGATGCCCCCAGGCCACCTTTATAAAAACCTTTTTGTTCCTTTTCAGCAATTGAGGTCTCAGATCTATCTTTATAGTCTACAGCTTTCTGGTCAAATTCCCGTTTTGAATCATCCTTCTGGGCTCTTTTTTTTTTATTTGCAACATAAATCTGGCTAAAACCTCTAAACAATAGCCATGCCACCACTTCAACATTTGACTGCCTTGAAATTCCTTCTGCCAGATTAATCAGTCTATCACCCTTATCTCAGTCTCAGGCAAAGTCTCTGAACATGAGAAAAAAGTAGATAAATTTTCTGCCAAGCCATAGTACACATTTTGGGAAATCCGACAATCAATGCAGTTCTTCTTCCCAATAGAAAACTCCTGAGCCTGATCTTTACAGGCACGCTTTCTGTTAGCCATCTGATGTCTTGAGCTCTGATCAGAATCTCGCATACATGACAGCCTAAGCTGTTCCAGTGCCGCTCTTTTAGGCAACATTGCCAAACCTTTGGAAATGGCTCATGGTCAGGTATAGTCACAGCAATGACCCCACTGCTCTTACTAAATTCTGTCTCAGTTACTTTTCTATCATTGTTGAGACAAAATATCTGATGCCCAAAATGAAGGAAGGAAAGTCTATGTCTTACAGCTCTTGAGGGTTTCAGTTTATAGTCAGCAGGCTCCAAGGCAGCATGGCATGGTGGAGCAGCCATTCATGGTGGCTGCAAACAGCAAAAACATAAACCAAGCAAAAGACATGCCTTCTTCTTGCCCTTACATTGTATGTTGGCTCCACTCCAGGTGAGTGCAGCACTCACGCCATCAATCCCAGCACCAGACAACAAGCCAATCATGAAGACTAGATTCAGCCATGTCTAAGATTACATGAGGCTTGGGGGGGGGTGGGCAACAAAAACCGTAACAGATAATTTGCCCAGGTCTTGGTGGTACTGGAGATTAAACATAGGGCCTTTGCTCTGAGCTACATCACAGCAGTTTTTTGAGACAGAGTTTCACTGAGTTGATAATTTGCCAGGTTCTAGTTCATGATTTTATTTTAACAAATAAACATCTCATAGGTATGCATAAAGAGTTCCAGGGCTAGAATACTGCAAATCTTATTACTCGGGTGTTCTGATACTTAGATTATTCAATTCAAGGAGTACAGATCCATCACAATTGTGTGTTTGGAATCCATAAACAATTCTTGTCACAAAGCAGTGACTCTTCAGAACTTACTTACTGAAGTCTAATAGTTGGAAATGAAACAACCCTAAGAGTTCACTGCCTTCTGACACTTAGTGGCAGAAGGGTTCACACCATCCTGTGTTTCAGTACTGCACCAGTCAAACACTGTTGTTATTGTCATTTTAGAATACCTTGGAAGGAAACGTGACCTTCAGTGATGTTGTGTTCAACTATCCTACCCGACCGGACATCCCAGTGCTTCAGGGACTGAACCTCCAGGTGAAGAAGGGCCAGACATTGGCCTTGGTAGGCAGCAGTGGCTGTGGAAAGAGCACAGTGGTCCAGCTCCTCGAGCGGTTCTATGACACACTGGCTGGAAAAGTGGTGAGCATACTTTCACAGTCAACTCATCTCAGGCTTTTCGTTATTCAAAGGCTTGGGTGTGTTTCATTCACTACAACCAGCCATGATTTTTTAGTCCTTTCACGAATAGCCTCCACTCAAGTCTGACAGTCTAGTTTTGTCATCCAAGCTATGTCACCTGTCCCAGCTGTGCAGTGTCCAACCTCATCCTCAAGCTCCCCCTCTATCCTCCTTTACAAATCACCTTCTTACCATAAGTCTCTCTTGCTGTGGCTCAATATCATCTGACATCAGAGAGTCAACTAAAAGTGAAATAGCCAGAAAGAAAAGGGATTCCAGGATAGACAAATGAAATGAAAGCCAAGGATAGGGTGGGTATCAAGAAAGAGAAAATAGCAAGAATAGATGCCAAGGAGAGCTTGGGTAAAATAAAGAGGAAGCAGGCATAGCAGGCTGTATTGATAGTGGGCTCCTTTTCATGTTTTATATTCTCAGTGAAGTGGTGATGGTATAAAAGTTTAGCTTTGTGAATAATATCAAAGAGGAGAGACAACAGCTGTAGACTACCAAGATCAAAAGTAATAGGGTAAATTTAAAAAGCTTGAATAAGAAAGGCAAAAGGCAGGAAACAAATTTAGAAAGGTAAGTATGTTATAGCGCATAATGAGGTCATACCACTGATGGAGAAAGGGCATTGAAACATCTTCCAAAGCAAAAACAAAAGCAGGATCAATACATGGGGAGCACATAAAGAGTACGGAAGACTCCTCTTTTGCTTTCTGAGCTAAAAGAATAAGTGAAGAATTAAAAATACTCATTCATCAAAACTTTGGGTCAGGGAACTGTGTTAGGTACCAGACATGAGATGGGAGTATCTAAGGGAGTAATGAATTTACACCACTATCAGCGCAGGAAAAGAGGCAAACTTGTAAGGAACAGAATTTAGAGCAACACATTTTCATAATTTAGGCATGTGCTATTGATTGACTGTTACTCAGAGGTAACAGTCAAAATATTGAACAACAGGAGTGGTGTGGTCACTTAAAACACACTGAGTTTTAAGACTGGTATGGTTTAGATCTAAAATGGTCCCCAAAGGTCTCTTGTGTTTGAAGGTGAATGGACCAAGGGGGTGGTATGCTGATCTGCAGATTCATCCTCCCATGAGTTTAGTAACTGAACATATTGTTAGGAGGCAATCAGACTAGAGCTGAGTCACTGGGTATGTAACCTGGGAGGTGCATTCTTGACCTTGCCTTATCCCTTCTCTCTCTGCTTCCTGACTGCTGAGGGTAAAAAGCTTACTCTCACCCTCGCCTTCCACCATGCTGTTTTTGCCTTGGAGCCAACAAGCATGGACTGAATCCTGAGAAAATCATGAGCCAAAATAAATCTCTTCTCATCTAAACTGTGAGTTTCCAGTACTGGAAAGTCAACTCATACACGCTTAGTTATCTGCCTCAAAGACTGTAACCAAGGAGATGGGGTATTCACGTCCATGCATTAAAAAAGTCAGGCCTAGCTGGGCATGGTGGCACATGTCTGTAACTCCAGCACTTGGGAGGCTGAGGCAGGAAGATCACCACAACTTCAGGAAGATTTTGGGCAATATAGTAAGTTTAAGACCAGTATAAACTGCATAGTGAGATCCAGTCTCAAACAACAGCAATTGATAAAGAAGTTAGATCTAGATGTTTTTCTTAAATGATAAACAGGATCTGCGTATGTTTGAACAGAGGAGATGGCAGTCAGTGAGAGAGGTGAGGTGGACTACTGTTGATACATGATTAGGTTTCCAGTGCAACAAATAGGCGAGTTCAGCTAAAAGAAGGAATTTCATAGGAGCAGTGATTCTCAGGCTTTCCTTATTATAACTTATGACGCATTTTAAAATTTCATAGTCCCCTAATGAATTCATAGTCACTTTCCAGTAGGTAAGTATATCTGGTAATAATAAAATGTTGAACTTGAAATCAGTAATAAGCAATAAATTATACATGAAGGAAGTTATTAATATTCTCTTTCCCCCAAACAAGACCTAGCTGGAAAATAATCAGCCTTGAAAACTACAGCCCCATTAGCCTATCCTTGTCTCACATGCCTTACAGTGTAGCCACTGAGAGAGACAATTGTGAGGGCAGGTGAGGCAGGAGTTATTTTTTAGCTGAGTGTTATTTTGGGGGAAACACAGTACTTACTATATAAGTGCATCAGCACAAAGCAGAATACAGTTTAAGACATAGATAGCATTATTTGTATTTCAGTTTAAGAAACGGAAAATATTGTAGGTATTTCAACTGGATAAGTATTTAACAAAAGGAATTGGGTGCTTATTTTGTGGAAGAGCTGGAAGGTAAAAAGATAGTTTCTTTCAGTTTTCCAAATCACAGTAAGGGTGCTTCTATGGTCTTGTGATCAAGAATTTATAAAATATTAAGCGCACATCATAACTGTTTCAAATCAAACGATGAAAGACCAGGGTCTGGCTACTGTGAGAACCCATCTTCCATAACACCTGAGTTATCTAACCACTACGGTAAGGAGGGTATGGCCTCTTTTTCATGCAGTACCTTTCACTGGTTTAACCTAACTTACCTCCAGAAGCAAAAGAGCCTGGAAAGGACTTATTTTGGCCGTCGTGTTCATTGATACATGGAAGGGCAGACACAGAAGTATATGGAGATGAATGCTGAGTACATAGAAGAGTAACCATCTCAAGATAGCAGTGGTGACACACTTAAACTGTCCTCATTTATTTTGTGCACATATACTAGAACTTTAACATTCTGCTGAGGATACAGAGGAGCAGATACTTTTGGCAGAAGTATCCCCAATAAATTCAAATAAATGTGCAATGTTTCATTTATAAATATCCATTAATAGCCCTTAATAATTCAGTGAGCAGGTTACTATAAGATATCTCCCACTGCTATGTAAAAATGATGCATTTTAGTCTTTGATCATAAAAATTAAAGAAAGGGCCTTAACTAGAGATCCTGCCCTGACCAAGAAATTCTTAAAACCATCAGTGGACCCTGAATCATGCTTTGAGAAACCTGGCCTGGAGTGGTAGTACTCAGACTTTGGTGTGCATTAGAATGGCCTTGAGAACTAGAAAAGAACACAGCTACTCTAAATCATTCTAGTAGTCTAGCACAATTTGGGGGGGATTTTGATGCCAAACCATGTTTGGAAACCACTAACCTGTAGATTTGAAAGGCAGTTTAGGCTAAATTGTAGAAAATCTTGAAATGCTAAGCTGCAGGTTTATAAAAAGGATAAGATCCAATTTTATGGGGACTGAAGGTATTACAATTGAAGGAATTCTATTTAAAGAATATAAAACAAGTTTTAATTTAAAATTAAGTATACTAGGCATGTCTAGAATCCCAGCACTGGGGAGGCTGAGACAGGTATATCACTGCAAGTTCAAGGCCAGCCTAGGCTACACAGTGAATTCAAGGCCTGAACTACACAGAGAGACCTTGTCTCAAAAAAAAATAATAAAATAAAATAAAATAAGGTACAAAAGTAAATATTCAAATAAAAAAATTAACACTGGAATCTGAAGATCCTAGATTCTTCTTTTCCTAGATTCTTCTGGGAAAATAGTGACTCCAGGTGTTTCCCCAAAGTCACTGCAAAACATGAATCCCAGCCAGTGGCTCGGTGTGTGGAAGAAGCTGGGTGCTCTTACTCAGTAGTAGCATCAGCTCCTGTACCTCTCCAGGGCTCTGAGCTGCAGGCTACTTAAGGCTTGGGGCAGTGGATTTGGGCAGAGATGCTGGAGATGTTGATGCGCCGGCACTGACTTTCTTACAACTAAATAGTTACTTGCCAATTGCCTGCGAAAGATAATTCTGCCAAATTGAAAGCTACCACTGTAGAATGAGATGTTGGAGGAGAAAGTGAGCTGTTTCATTCAGATGGAACACAGTATAAGCTAATGAAAATGAAATTTCAGGAGTTGGTGTGGATATAGGAAAGACAAAGAATTCTAGCCAGGTACTTGATATTTCATCACTGGATCCTGCCTATTTCTGTATAGATAGCATCAAGTTATCTAAATCAGCCTCTGGAAATAAGGATCTTGGATATCCTACCTACAAGACAAGCAAGAGACTCTGGAGACTGAGTGCACACTGAACAAGTTCTTAGCTGGTAGCCACAGAGTTGTCCTCAGCTGAAGCTGGAGAGCCTCTCTTTTAGCTTCGTATTTCAGATCAAACAGAAGGCATTTCTAAGAACTTAACCTGTTCGTTAACAAGTTACAGAGAATCATGATTGCAGTCAAAGGTGAACACTATTCAGAAGACCCAGGAACTGCAAAATATGAGCCAAAACACAGTGCCCACAGAAACACATGTAAAACCAATATGTTGCCATCTCACAGAATGATTCACCTGGTCAGTGTGAGAAGGAAGAGTGTCCTGCTTGCTCAGAGAACAGGAGCACAGGTATAAGCAGCATCTTGGCACCGTCACAGTAGGGTAGCTTCTGTTGTTTCACATCTACCTATGCAGTGCTATCCATAGAATCATCTTGGGCAGTGCAGAAACAGCAGAAAGGGAATCATGAGGAGAGTCAAGAAAAACTTGCAGCACAAAAATTAGCTGAAGAAACAAGATCCCATCGATATACTGTATACAAAAAACACATTTAACTGGAAAGGAAATCCATAGACTGAAAATCAAGGAGAGAAAACAATTGTTTCATGTGACAGGAGACCAAAAAAACCAAAAGCAAGAGTAATTTGCCCATCAACTACAGAATGGATAAGAAAGATATGATGTTTTCATTCAGTGAAAAGCTACCCAGCTATAAAGTAAAATAATCTCAAGGCTCCCATAGGTAAATGGACACAACTGGAAATCATGTTCATGGCCAAAAAAGTTCAAACTCGTATGTGTGAACCCTAGCATAAGAAACAGAAGGAGTTAATGGGATCCAAAAGCAAAATAGTTAATGTAAGAGCAAAGGGGAGGGAACACCTGGGAAGGAAAGGTAGAAACTACTATCAATTCCTTGTTGTCTTATCTTGAACTATTGTATTTTTACACAATTTTGGTAGCTTTGGTTTTGTTCTCTCTTGTTTTGTTTGATTTTATGCTGTCAGATGGTAGGGGCAGCGATTTTGAATATAATGAAGAATGAGGTAGTATATTTGCTTCCTGTGGCTGCTATAATTGATTATCACAAATATAGTGGTTTCAAATAACACACATTGATTCATACAGTTGTGGAGGAGGTCAGAAGTCCACACAAGTCTCCCTAGGCTAAAATAAAGGTCACAGCAGAGTTTTTTTCACCACAGAGCTATAAGGGACAATCCATGGTCCTGCCTTTTCTAGTTCTTTGCCCCTTATTCCATCTTCCTATCAGTAGACGACCAAGTATTTTGTTTTGTTTTGTTTTGTATTGCATACATTGATGCTGAGTCCCCTGCCTGCCCCTTTCACCATTAAGGACCGTTACAATTTGCATTAGGCTCACCAGGGTAATCCAGAACGACCATCTTATTTTAAGATCTAGTAATTTTCTGTATTAATTCTACCTGCTACTTTAATGCATCCTTAGCTTATAAAACAATATAACCCAGGATTAAAATTTCAGAAATATGTTTCTTCAAAGTATACAATTATCAACTTGCTTGGATTGACCTTGACAATCCAAAGTAAAACAATATTTTCCTTAGCCTCACAAAACCTTAACACTTTTAAAGTATGAAGTAATGATGTTAAGTTTGCTCAAAGTATGCTTGTCTTGCTGTTGATCTGTGAACTCTTGTTTTCAGCTTGTGGATGGCAAAGAAATAAAGGAACTGAATGTGGAGTGGCTGCGAGCACACCTAGGCATTGTGTCCCAGGAGCCCATGCTGTTTGACTGCAGTATCAGGGACAACATTGCCTATGGAGATAACAGCAGGACTGTGACAGAGGAGGAGATTGTGAAGGCAGCCAAGGAAGCCAACATACACCAGTTCATTGAGTCACTGCCTGATGTAAGTTATCTCCAAAGTAAAGTTTCAGGAGCATTTCCCAACCTTCCTTGCCTGTCCTTTGATTTTATTTTTGTTTTTGCATGGTGCTGTTAAACCTAGGCTGTAGCACATAGTAGGCAAACATTCTGCCACTGAGCCACACCCAGAGCCCTATCATTTGATTTCTCAATGAATGGCTTCCCAAAGGTAGAGAGAATACATCAACCAGAACGTACCCCTCACCTGTAGGCAAGCATCTGGTCATACTTCCTATCCCAATTAGCAGTTTTCTTTGCCTGATCATAAAACTCTCCTTGTGACAAAGGAGAGAAAGTGTCAGAAGAGATTCAGGTTAGGAAACATGGCCTTTGCAGGAGGAGGAGGGCAAGGAGGATGAGGATGAGGAGTAGGAGGAGACCTGCAACGGATTTCTTGCTTCTAGGCTCGAGACTGCTTCAACCACAGAGTTAAGTAGGTGCCTGAAGACTTTCCCTACAAGTCTAGGTAAAGGACCTGTGGGCATCATTAGGTCTCCACCTGTGGCCATCATGATTCTGTTCCTCTAGGCCAGCAGGCAGGATCATGTGTCACAGTTTCTCTCCCGAACATCTCTTGCTCTACCTCCTTACTACTCTTCTCCATGCTTCAAACCTCACTTTCTAGAGTCAAGCCACGCCAGAGGCCTGGACCTAAAGTAGTAATAGGGCTCTTTCTGCATAGAGGTGAGCAATTAGGATGAACATGGTATCAGTCTATATCTCATGATCCCCAAGCTCTACTCATTGCTAAAATCTTTCCTGGACTATTGTCTTATGGACACACTTAATGAATCACTGAAGAAGATGGAACCTGTCACTCACTCTCTTAAGGCCTATTAGGTCCTTTATTTTGAAATGCATCTGGATCAAAAGCCTGATTTATCTTTTTTTTTCTTATTTATTTTAATTTTATTTTAAAGATGGTAAAATTAAACAGAACAAAACAGATCATAAGGAAACAAAATGTAAGATTTCAAAGCAAGACAACCAGAGATCTTCACTGTCTATTATATTGTCTCTTGTTTTCTTCCAAATACTTGTCCATATCTTCACAGTGAATTCATACAAAACAAAATAATATAAAACTGATCAAAACAGGGTGATGAAGGCATTTTAGGTCTTCAAGACCAGACAATAAGGAAGTCAACAATGGCTACCATAGTGTCACTCATTCTCTTTCAAGATAGCTGTCTATACCTTCACATATGTTGAAATTGAACGAAACAGACTAAAATCACTCTGAACAAATAATAATAGTATTGCTGGATTTCACATCATGACACTATGAAATCAGCACTGGATACCATAGCATCTCTTTTTCTTCAAAGTAGCTGTTCATTTTATCTTGCATTATATAAATCAATTCTCATAAACTGTTTAGAAGATCTACACATGCATGAGTCTCTAGTTGTATACCTATCCTTTCTGTATTAGAGGGAAAAACAAAACAATTTTCTAGAAAAATACAAAACAAAAAAGACATATAAAACCACAATACAAGATGTTCTACAATGGTACTATGATGTCTCTTGTTATCGTTAAAAGAATCATCTATATCATCAGGCATAGCATAATTGAGCATAGCAGTGCATAACAATATTAATAAAAACAAAACATTGGAGACATTGTAAGACTTGAAAAGCAGGTAATAGTCAGACCAGAATGGGTATACTAGTGGATCTTGTCATCTTCAGAGTAGTTGCTATACTCTCAGACTTGATACTATCAAACACAGCAGATTTGAATAAAATCAGTCAAGACAAAACAGCAATCTAACAAATCAGATTCAAATAAAATCAGTCATAATAAGATGGTTTAAGTAATACAGGGCTTCAGATTAAGTTAATAGGAAATTAAGGATGGTTACCATAGTATATCCTGCTAATTTTAGAATAGCTGTATGTGCCCTCAAATCTAGTAGAAGAAGACAAACTTGAAGAGAATATAGTCAAACTAAACAGAACAATGAGCATAATGTGGATTTTAAGTCCTGATACACTATTAGCAATGTCCTCTGCCTTCCTTTTTTAGACAATTCCTCCCCTTTCACTTTCACAGGATGCACTGTACATTTTGTGTCCCACAAACTCCTTCAGTTTTTGGTTTAGGAGAGCATCCTGCTCTTTACCTGAGTAGTTCTGAACCTTTTTACCCCTAAGCTTGTTCTTAAGTTGATTCCTTTACCTACAAAAGCCTCAAAGTTTTCCTTCCTTACAGCTGAGTAGTTCTCCACTGCACAAAAGTGTCATGCCTTTCCAACCTATCTGCAGCTGCTGGATGAGCTGCCCGCATTTCTGTCTGGTTCCCTATCACATAGAGCATTGTTTTCTCATATATGACTTTCAGTCTATAAACCCTCTTTCAGGTTGATTGTGTTTCCTATACAGAGTATCTCGATGGACCCTATCTCCTGATCTACTCTGCCTGTGTTTCTTTTTGTTAGTGTATCAAGGCCATCTATGTTAGAGATTATAGCCCACCTTCTCTGCCTCATTCCTGCTATGTTATTTTTCTGCTGTTGGTTGTCTACTTTTCTCCTTCATTCTGTGTCTACCCCATTCATTGAAGCCTCTCTGCCACTGTTCCTGAAATCCTGGTGGTTTTTTTATTCTCTCTCTCTAGAATGTCCTTCAGTATTTTTTGAACTCCCCTCAGTTCCTCTTTGTTATGGAAGCATCTTGTTTCTCCATTAATATTGAGAGACAATTTTTCAGGGTACGTCAGTCTGGGTTGGAGGTGTTTTTCTTTCAGGGCCTGGAATACTTTGCTTCAAGCTCTTTTTTTTTTTTTTTTTTTTTTGGTCATTTTTGAGACAGGGTCTCTCTGTGCAGTTCAGGCTGGCCTTGAGCTCACTTTGTAGCCTACGCTGGTCTTGAACTCACAATGATCCTCCTGCCTCAGCCTCCTGAGTGCTGGGATTACAGGCATGAGCCACCACACCTGGCAAGCTCTTCTTGATTTGATGGTTTGTGTCAAGAAATCTTTCATGATTCTGATGGGTTTTCCTTTATAGTGATCTGTTTCTTTTCTCTGACAGCTTTTAATATTCTGTTCTTGCGATGAATTTCTGGGATCTTGATTATTTTATGTCTGTTTTGGTTGTAGGTGGCTGGAGTTTTGTATGCCTCACACATCTGAATATCTTTTTCCTTTTCCTATGTTTGGGAGGTTTTCCTTAATTATTTCTGTGAATAACCTTTGTATTTCATTCGTGTTTATCCCTGCTTCTTCACTCACATTTTTATTCTTAGCCTATAGATCATCTTGTCATCTTCTAGTCCTTGTATTGTTACTTCCTGTTTTCTTGTTATTTTTAGGAGATCTTTCCTTTTGCAATCACACATTGCAAACCTGTCTTCAAGTTTTGATAATCTATCTTTAGTTTCTTTCAAGTAATTTTGCCAATTTTCAATAGAGTTTTTAATTTCTTGATAATCTCTTTGAATCTGTTTCATGTATTCTAGATTTTTTTTCTTGGCAGGGGTCTTCTCACTCTTATCTTCAAATGGCAAGCCTTGCCCTGAGCACCACAAATTTGGGTTGACACATCATAAATAAAAAGCAATACTACATGAACATGAATTTTATAGGAAAATTCCAAGTGTAAAAATCATAGTCCATGTTTGATCATAATATCATCCTGGCGAGGCCCACAAATGAGGATAATTCCATTTTGTAGAACAGACATGCTAACATGTCCCACTTCTGTTTCCATTGATGAACCTTTTAGCTTCTGCTCTTATCTGAGGATTGAATAGCTAGAGACAGTTATCTGCTAAGGGGAATATCATATGAAAAATTTTGAAAAAACTCTTAAAAAGAAAAAAATTTAAAGAAATATTACAGTTCTCAAAGTTTGATATCAAAGTGAAATTCCTTTGCATTCTAGAAACTGTTTGCTAAAAACAGACAGCAAAAGACAACATCCCAAGAATATTTCTTTCTGCCTTTAAAATGATGCAGATTATATTGCTGCTTGTGTGAGAAACTTCCTTTTTCCTACTATTCTTTGTCCCCCAAAATAATGAAATTAGAAGGCTGAAGGAAATATCATTGCATCGGTGTTCTTCCACGCAAAAAAAGTTGGGCTGATTTACAAAAAGTTGACATAGCAAATGCTAGGGGATGGAGATTTAGCTCAGCAGCATAAGTGCTTGCCTTGTAAGCAGGCAGTTGTGAGTTTGATCCCTGGTACCAATTGAAAAAAAAAAAAAGATGCAAATGCTTATTTTCCAAAAAGGACATTAAACCTGCCATACAGCATTTTTGTCATTTAACTCTCTCTAAGCCCATTCTATGCTTCTAAACCTAAATTTTTCTAAGTATATTTTCAGAAAAGTGTCATATTTTCTGAGAGGAAACTGTGGCTTTGGCCCTACTTTCAAACTAGCAAAATGCTGTTTACAGAAATACAACACCAGAGTGGGGGACAAAGGAACCCAGCTCTCTGGAGGCCAGAAACAGCGCATCGCCATTGCTCGGGCCCTCATCAGGCAGCCTCATATTTTGCTTTTGGATGAAGCGACATCAGCTCTGGATACAGAAAGTGAAAAGGTAAGGATTTAAATTGGGTTCATTCATACCTGAGTCAGTTGTGATTCAAAGGTTTAAAGGTATGTTTTTCTTATCACAGTAGAGAACACGATTTAACCAGTTTTGTTAAGAGTTGCTTCTGTCAGACTTTAGTAAAATTTAAACACTTCCGCCAGCTAAGATGATGCAAGGGGAATTAGTTCTTGGGCACACACCCTCCAGAAATAAGCTTGTTGTCATGTGTTTACCTAAGAGGATGCACACAAGGGAATATGTTCCCTGTCTGTTGACAGCAACTCCTCAGGAGCCCCATGAAAAGATAGAGTTGAGAAGAGTAAAACTGGCCTGTATTTTAGAGCAATGAGCATTGTAATTTTCTGCTTGAGAACAGGATAAAATTCACCTCTTTGAAAGGCGGAGTGCTTATGAGGTGTTTTCTATCTGAAAAATGCTAGCACTGAAGGACTTTGCTCAGGCTTCCTGATCTGCTGTGGTGCTATGTTAGGAGGCTGATTTTTAGGGCTATTATGTGGTAAGGAACAATTGGAAATGTAATATAAAACACCATGTGTTTTGTATTTCACTGATGCCTTCTCTTAAAAAAGGAAAATTGGAGAAGAGTTGGGGCTTCTTACAGAGAAGGAATTAAAGGGAGAGGACTATCATTAGGAAAATTAATTCATGATTGTAATTATGGAACAGATTGTCCAGGAGGCCCTGGACAAAGCCAGGGAAGGCCGCACCTGCATCGTGATCGCGCACCGCCTGTCCACCATCCAGAATGCAGATTTAATCGTGGTGATTCAGAATGGCAAGGTCAAGGAGCATGGCACCCACCAACAGCTGCTGGCACAGAAAGGCATCTATTTTTCGATGGTCACTGTCCAAACTGGAAAAAGTGCTAATGAACTGTGACCGTATGAGAGGTTTTAATATTTGTGTTTCGATGTGATGTTGAAACTAAAAAGCAAGCACTTATTGGACATTGTAGTTATCTGTTTCCTGCCACAGGTGAATATTATTTCATCAAATTTAATATCTTCAGAGACTTCATAAGCATCAGAAATAGAATCATTGTTCAATGGCCGGGTGGACATGGTTTTAATTGCATTGTAGGATTCATAAAAGGATTTACAGTAGATTTTTTAATCAAGTATGTGCTTCTGTTTGTACTTTGAGTTTGGTAGCTGACTGCTTTGCTAAAAGGTTAGATAAGTTATAAAAATACTGAAGTGTTTGCATAAATTATCTAAAATAAACCAATGTAATGATCTTGTCTAAAATGTGTGTGATTTTTTGATTTTTTGATTTTAAAGAGAAAAAAGGTACAGTTTCAAAACAAGATAATAGGAAATTAACAGTGGAAATTAATCTAGTGTGTATTGTTATCATCAAAATAGTTGCTCAGATTACAAGATATAGGTATGTAAAGTTTCAGATCATATAAGCACAAACCATTCTTTTCAATGAACTAATACAAATTAGTATAATTATATAGCTGTGTGTGTATATTTTTTCCTTCCTTCTTTTCCCCTCTCCCCTGTCCCATTTCTTTTCTTTTGAGCAGTTTCTGTTCCTTTCCCAACATCTATTGTACATGTTGCATGTTATGTACTCTTTCAGTTTCTTACATGAGGGAGGCAATATGATGTTTACACATGCAAGTCTGATTTATTTCATTTATGAGTATGATCATCTTTTTAACTGAGTAGCACTCTATTGTATGGAAATACCACCTTTTTTTATCCATTCCTCAGTTGATGGGCACTTAAGTTGTTTCCATGATTTAGCTGCTATTGTGCTTCTTTCAGTTGGAATTTTGTAGATAATTCTGGCTTTTTAAAACTCAGCTCATTAAAAACTCATTCTTTTTTGTAGCATGGGATAAGCAGTTTATTTATGATACAAAATTTCAAAATAGGATTGTAGGAGAGTAACAATGGTTAGTACCATTGTTTTCTTCAAAGTAATTGCTCTTATGACAAGATACGGGTATGAAAAATTGATCAAACAATATATGCACAAACTTTTCAATGAACTAATAGCAATCAGTAGTATAGCTATCTTAACTACTTTATGTGTATATATGTATATTTTTTGTATATATGTAGGTATATTTTTTTCTTTTCCCTTCCTTCATTTCTCCTTTCCTCATCCAGTTTCTCTTTCCTTTTGAATAGCTTCTTCACATTTCACAATGTTGGTTGTACATTTTGGATATTATTTTACTTTCAGTTTCTTATGCTAGGGAGACAATAGGATGTTTACACATGTGAGTCTGATTTATTTCACTTATGAGTATGGTCTCAAGTTGGATCCATTTCCCTATAAATGTCTCTAATTTATCTAAATCTTATTCTATATATGTCTTCATGTTGGGTCTCACAGTGTCATCCGGCTTGTATCTTCTAGGCTTTATCCTATTATTTAATTCATTATTATGTTGTTTTAATACCTATCACACAAAGTAATATAAGATTTAGGCAATAGAGTGAGGTGTATCATGAAGTATATATTCAACTGTGCCTTAAGTATTTTCATTACTCTTGTAAAGAGCTCTTCAAGGATTTAATAATTTTATACATTTTAATATAAAACTTCTCTTTTCTGTCTTGATAATTAATCATTCTTCCCAGTAACCAGTCACTTGTAAGCTTGATCTCCCTCTTTGCATATTTATGTTCAAAATGTTTTTTGAGTTTACCTACGTTGGGATGAAAACCTGAAATAAAGAAGGAACTGGTATTTTTACTTAAAAAGTTTGAAACTTAGCCCAAAAGCAGTGTTTAAAGGATTGAAATTGTGGGCCATTATTTTCCACGTTTATTGCAAGCAATTGATATACTTAATATATAAAGAACCTCTAAAAAAAAAAGATCATCTCTAAGAAAAATGGGCAAATGTTATGATCAAATAATTCCTAATAATGTGAAATACATGAGAAAAAACAAAATGTCAGTAATAAATAAATGCAGGTAAGAACAAAATACTTATTTTTGTCTTATAACTTTATGGTCAATTGTAATCATCTCTTATGTGACAGTCTTCTTTAACTTCCTTATTGATACATTTCCATCACTATTTAACTATGTATGTTGAATTGATAAAAATCATACTCTTTTGGATATAAATTTGAATCCTAGAAATTTAGTTATAACATACATACAGGCTGCTAATTGCAGCATTACTTCTGTTGAAAACTAGAAAGAACTTGACCGGGAATTTAGCTCAGCTTGTACCTGGCTGGCAAGCACAAGGTTGTGAGTTCAATCCCCAGCGCACACACCCAAAAAATTAGAATATTAATAAAAAATCATGCACTAAATTTTGGAACACTGACAAAATTGAATACTATAGAATCATTAAAAAGTAAGTGGTAGTGCCATTTGTGCACTGTGGAGAGAGAGAGGGAGAGAGAGAGAGGATTCACCAAGAAGCAAGCCCTCTCTGTGAACCAGCACCATTCACAGGCTGCCTATCCTCTTTTGTTTGGTTTTGTTATATCTGGCAGGGAGACAGCCAGACCCAAGCCCTTCCTCATGAGTCCATGCTATTCACAGACTGCTTGGGGAGAGAACAAGGAGTTGCTAAGAAGCAAGCCCTCCTTGTGAACCAGTGCCATGTGTGGGCTGCCAGTGGGAGGGCAACAGCCAGATCCCAGCCCCTGCTAGCACAGGGCTGGCAAACAAGAAGAGCCAATCCTCTCTCACCCTCAGTAAGCAACTTGCTGATCTAGAGAAACACAGGCTGTGATGGTAGCTATTGAGGTGAAATGCAATTTGATGCGTGTGGTGTTTTGGTGTTTCACTGACCTTGCAGGTCTAGGGCCAGTGGTCTGATGATCTGTTCAGAGCATAGTGGTATGTATAGTGTCATCTAGGGGGATCACCTTCTGACAGTGGTAGCCATTGTTAATTCCCTATTATCTTGTTTTGAAGTCCCATATCATTTTCATTTGGGGGGGGGGTGTTGGGTTTTATTCTCTTTTGTTTGGTTTTGTTATATCTGCTGGCATGAGCAGCTATTTCAAAGATAGCAAGATACATTATGGTTATGGTAGCCATTTTGGATTTACTATTGTCTTGTTTTGAAGTCCATTATTGCATTCACTGTTTTGTTTTTATTGGTTCTATTCTGTTTGATTTTTACTATGTCTGAAGGTATCTGCAGTTATTTCAAAGACAATCAGAGGCATTATGGTAACTGTTGTTGATTTTGTATTTTTTTAAAGTCCTGTATCACTCACATTGGTTGTTTAGATTGATTTTATTGTTTTATTTTCCTTGGCTTTATCCTCTTTAAAATAAAAAAGTAAGTTGTACAGAAAGCCAACTGCCCAATTAGAGTTGGTAAGTTCAGTAAAATCTCAGATTGTGAGCATGATTCATTCCAGAATGGTGCTCATTCAAGTGGTGCTTTCCTACAGAATTTTTCAGTTTCTCACACTTTACACATTTCCCTAATCTCATTTGAATTGAGAGATGCCTCCACTTTTTTCTCCTCTCCTCGACAGGTCAGATCTCTTCCATAAACTCTTCCTATTGGGAGATGATCCCACAGTGAGAGCAAGAGAGAATCACTGATTCAGTATCACATAGTACTCATACTGCAAGACACTGCTTATTTATCGTTAAAATTTAGAAATGTTTGCTCATCTTGAAGAACAGTTGCAGAATAAGTTACTGAAAATCCAAGGTTTTAGTGCACTTATCTCCTCATTCACCAAGAAGAATGAGAATAACAAGTAACTATGTTTTGAGGTGAGCTTTGTAACCCAGCAAGGGTCGATGAGGTCCCTGTAAGACATAGTGACCAGGTAGTGACAGAAAGGGAAGCAAAGCACAAAGATGATTGCAATCCTCTTTCTGATGCTGGGGGTTGGGTAAACCCTACTGCAGGGAAAGGGGTCAACCACAGAGTCCCAGCAAGTCCTACTGTTGTGGATACCAATAACTTTCCTGTGGATGATGTGAACCCTACTGATAGTAGGGACTGGATTGGAGCCCAGGTTGAGAGCTTGATGGAGTTTGTACTGTAACTTTGCTTCAGAGAAGGAATTTTCATTCGTTTACCTTTGAATCCAGGCTGCACGCTGCTGAATTGTGGGCTAAACACTGGGAACAAAGCTACACTGCTGTTCTAGCCACCTTAGACAGCTTAAGCTACATGGTTACTTTTGGTTCATGTACTACCTTAACTGGCCTAAGCTACCACGCTACCACTGTAATCTTCCAAAGCCACAGTCCGCAGAGTTCTGCCCTAATTGACAAATGAGGTAAAATCAAGCCAAACCACTGACATAATTAGAGTCACAACTCTGCTGGGCCAGAATGTGTTCCACATTTCATGTGTCCTGCCACCATGTTCACCTTTAGTCACCTGAAATGCTGTTGTGCCCAAATATGTATTGACACTGCTACCAAGAAAGAATTCACTGTGTGCTACATTTCTATCACCACCACTTCCATTTTTGAAGTAGTCATGCAGTGCGTACCCTATGCCCACTGTTGTGTATGTTATAACTTCCTTAAAACTAGAGAAAACCCCTCTCTACATGTTCTTTAGAGACAGAAGAGCTCCGACCCAACCACACCATGCATACTGTGTGAAGACCTATAGGGACGTCTCCATGGAACCAAAGCCAACAGAACTTTGTACAAGCCATGCTGATATGCAAGACATATATTCACAAGAATGCCATTTACTACAAAAGTTAGTGTATAAAAATAGTGGAGATGACTGATCAAACAGATGCACAAATCTGTACACAGGCTTGCTAGGCATGCCTACAAAAAAACACAGTACTCCAGCACCAGACCTCTATGAGAAGGAGATTGATGAAATGCCTCAGAAGGCAAAGAAATATTTAAAATAAATAACACAGATAACTCAGTTAAATTAGGAAAGCACTTATTGATATGAATAAAAATATAGCAAAGAAATAAGAGATTTTAGCCAGGCATAGTGACACTGCCTCTAATCCCAGCACTTGGCTGAGGGGAGAGAATTGTTGCAAAACTGAAACCAGCCTGGGCTACAAATTGAGCTCAAGGCCAGCCTGAACTGCATAACAACACTCTGTCTAAAAAAAAAAGAGAGATCTTGAAAAATAATCAAATGTTGGAAATGAAGAGCTACATCAAAAATAGACTGTAAGGCCTCACGTACAGACTAGATGAAATAACAATATATGAACTTGAAAACAGATCCTTAGACATATCATAGGGGGAGACAAGTGAGAATGGATAACATTCTGACCTCTAGAATACCATCAAATGAACAA